CCTCATCATTGCCAGGCATGACCGCAAACGAGAGCGGGTCCACCGACACCAGCCCCCAGCTGGTGTGCAAAGCGATCCGCACGGGGCATGTTTTCTGTGTGACCGCAAGCACGCGGCCGTCCGCGACTTTAAGCTTCCCCGGGTTTTGCATGCCCCCCACGACCTGCACATCAGGAAAAGCAGCTTGCAGCCTACTCGCGATACCGGCTGACATGGTGGTGAGCCCTGATCCAGAATCCAGAATCGCAACGGCGTCTATGGCAGTCATATCGGCAGCACCAGGCACCGACAAGCTCACTTGGCACCATTTTTCCTGCGAATCAACCGCGATACCTTCAGAATCAAACCCAGACATACCTCCGGGCTGAACCCCACGAAACGCCGGCACGAATGGACCCTCAGGGCCTGGTGGCACCCCCACACCCTCAGACGGCGCTGGAAAAGATGCGGGGGTAGTGGTAGCGGACGGGAACGGGCCGGGCGGCAGAAAAGGCGTCGGAGCGGCCTACCCCTGAGATTCCCCGGAAAAAACAGCCCTACCTCCGATATGGCGCTGGTGAAAGTTGGTGGACGATGCCCCCCCGGAGCCTCGTCCCCCTCCTGAAGACGGCTGTTGCTGCTGTTGACCGGGAGGGCGCGGTTGCTGCGGCGCTTGCCCCTGGGCGCGGTGCGGCTGCTGCTGCCGCTGCTGCCGCTGCTGCTGATATCCACGGGCGTCCCCGGTGCCGCGAAAATACCCCCCATGCCCAGCGTGCTGGGTAGAGGCTTTGGCGGGGAACCGCTGAAGCGGACAGTTCTGCGGGGCGTGGCCGGGCTTCTTGCACCTGAAACATGTGACAAGCTCGGCAGAGGGAGACACACCTGCACCTCCAGCCCCATCAGGCGCTTCCGCTTTCGCCCATGACTATTGCTGAGACGGTTTTTTACGAGCATGAACGCCACCCCCACGCGATTGCCCGCGCTGCCTGTCTGCCAACTCAACCGTGCGCCACTCGACCGCAACATCCCGAACGATCTCAAAGACTAGCTCAGGTTTGTCCTTCCAGCTACCTTGCGTGTCGAGCTTGCTTTCCACCTTGACCTTGAACTCGGGCGGACAGACCTGCCACAACTGCTTTGCTGAGGACAGCAGCCGGACCTTTCTTGAACGCGCACTGGAGTCTCGAAAAACACGCTCCGCACTCGGGTTTTCGAAGTATTGCTCGAGGCGGCTTTGGACAGCGTCTATCCGATCTACAGCAGTAGTCTCAGTCCCCATGACTACCATATGGGACACGGCGGCGGCCGCAATTGAAGGCTCAAGGGTATCATCCGTCCAGCATTCAGCATCTTCAAGTTCAGTGCCATCAAAGTAGGGGCGCGACAAGCATTTCCGGATAGACTGGCGCAGTAGTTGAGACACAGTGAGCAGCGGGCGTCTGATGGATTGCCCACTGTTGCAGAGACCCATACTCCGCTCGTACTCGGTGCATTGCGTGTAGAAACGCAAGGACGAAGCTTGTGAAAAAGTACGTCCATACTCGGGCGGCTTGGGCCCATTGCCCAAAATCAAGTCAGTAAGCCCCGCCCCGAGCTCACCAATATCTCCAGCAGAACATTGCTGTCCGCCAAGCGCCCCCTTGCCAACATTGGAGCGTCTCTGAGCCATCGCGCCGTACGATGCCCGGGCAGATCAAGACAGCAGCTCCGCGGGAGATCAGGACAGCAGCTCCAAGACCGCAGCCTCGCACTCAGCGAAGCAAGAAAAACGCAGAGGAATAGCTCGTCCTGCTGTTGTCACGAAAATGTTTTTTTACCCTGACTGACCCTGGTCGGTCAGCCTGAGTTATCGATAATTGTAGACACGCCTGAAGTCAGGCAGGGCCTAGGACCAGTATCCTCCCCCCGTGGCCTCGGGGGGCTGGTCAATTCGCCTCCTTGGTGATGGTAAACACAGTGTATTATTATTTATTTTTTTCTTAATATGACACAACGAATCCATCTCTATCATAGAAAACTACAAAGAACAAACTCCGTTATGTGTGGTCGAAGGATGGACTGCGCTATGTACAAGCCCAACATGCCACCATGCACGTCGCCGCTCTTCCACGTCTACCTGTCCATGACACATGCTGCCAACTGATGCGACAACACCTGGGTACAACACGGACACAGGTAGTACTCCCCTTGCCCATACACCGTCAAAATTACTTACAAACTAGAACAACTTCTTATTCCTCTTATGCCAAATACAAATGATGTAGCATACATGAAATGATAGACCCTTTCTTTACTTGTGGTCCACGCTGCCTACTAACGGGAGAGGTAGCCATACCTTCTGCCTACACACAGGCGACATAGGTAACCATACCCACTGCCTTTAACACACACACACATTTCGGTGATGAAACCTCAACCACACGCCTCTATCGGCGACCACGTCAGGAGGCACTGATAAAAGAATGTTCTCCCGTGCCATTTGCACATCTAACGACACGAAATTACACAAAACGGTAAGAAGATGGTGAGACCACTCCCGTGTGTCCGCACATACTCCGAAACGTGTCCGCACATATACGTACCCGGTACATAAGCGTACCACACTGAAAAAACGTTTGAAAACTGAGGGAGATTGCATGCCCTACGACTAAAAGGATGCCACACACTAAACGCCCGATCCGTACCTAACATATTTCTTCTGCACCTTCCCAACATAACATATATGAGACACACAAGACAGCTACTAAACTGTCTTGTTGAGCCTGTTACCCGCAGGGGAGATGCCCCTATTTGCTGTCTGGGAAATCGTAGACATACAGGTACTTTCTGACGCTATGAATTCATTGCTAATCTGTCTCAGACTCTTTTCTATGATTGAGATGGATTCGTTGTGTACTAAGAAAAATAAAAAATAAAAAAAGAGTCTAAGACAGATTAGCAATGAATTCATAGCGTCAGAAAGTACCTGTATGTCTACGATTTCCCACAGACACGAGTCTCGTCTCTCTCTCTCTTCATCTATCTCTCTCTTCTGCCAACATGCCAACCAGGCAGATAGAAACCCCAATCTACCATATCTTTGGCATGCATACATATCCAACGGCAGCTTCCCACCGTGAACTACTGCTACCCAGGTGCGCTGCGTCCACAGGTCACAAGACATACGGACACGCATGCAGCAGCCAGCACAACAAAACCGACATGCACAAGAGCACACCCAGATGTATGCTCTCGTAACCAAAATGAACTTGTCAGTTCAAAGCTGATCGATTCACGCACGGTCAAACAGGCGCAAGGCGGGGGGCGTGCTGCCAGCCCATCCATGTACACATGAACACCAATAATAACCGAAAAGATGAAAAAAAGTATTTCAGATGGCAGCTGGGCCAAAAGATACATCGCGTCAAAACGGAACTTTGGCACAAATAGAGTAGTGTGTAGTGCAAACAGGCCGCTATACACAGGTGCACTGGAGTTTGTAGTTGATGCATGGATGAATCTAATGTACCTCCGTTGTCAACGAGTTGCCATATGAGAGTCAAGTACAACTGGTGTTTCAAGGGAAATCTTGATGAATGTCAGCAAGCTCAGCTCACAGGCACACGTGGGAGATCTAGGAGTAGATATTTAATGAACGGTTTCAGGATCTTTTGAGAGACAAGTGTAAAGTGTTAGCGACTAACTGCTATGGGAGCGTATTATGCTGGAAGAGGTTTTGAGCGCATTTTAGAATCCATTGCTAGGGGTCATTTTCCCAAAAGTGGGCACGGCTGTTTCACTGTAACATCAAGGCATGGTATTGTGCAAGAGAAACCTCCGTCAACAAAGCCAACCCCTCGGTATTAACATTGCATGGCACAATAATATGGGCACCTTGTTGCGCGTCTCGTGTGTCCAGCCTACAATTCCCTCAGTAAGGCGGTCTCGAACAGTGCGGTCAAACGCTTGGCACTACTTGCCTGCTCAAAATACTGCGGACGACACCGCACACCCTCAACCAGCTAGCACTAATCCTCTGGGCCAAAACTACCTTCTTCTCTGTGATGCACTCACACAAGACGTGCACATCACCCTACACCAGAAGAGAGTGGCAAGTGAACAGCGCAGAGAGCCTACCTTGCCAGCGTGCCAGCGCTCGCGTTAGCAGCTCCTGACCGCTAAAAAACCCGCGTTCCATGCAACCAACCCCCAGGTATCTATCTACATTGGGTAGGAATCCGACGTTAGGATAACATCCTGAAATGCTTTCTACACTCTCTTTGGTTACCACGTAAACTTTGCAAAAACTCATCTACAATAATCGTGACGGTTGGGAAGCATAAATTTGGGCATGAGGTATGCCACTCAAGTGCCGGTCGAACCCCCCCGCGCCCCCCTCCCCGTATGCTGTGTGTACTGCCCATTGTCCACCCTACCCGAAAATGCTCGGAGCCCAAGAGAGAGACAGAGAAAGGGACCGATGAAAGAAGAGAGTCACACTACGCTGCAGAGGGACAAGCTAGAGCACCACCCACACCCACAACTCTCCAACTGATGTAGATGCAGGCTGTCCTGTTGTGTGGCCGTGTGGTCCTGTTGCGTGGCCGTGTGGTTGGCTGTGACGGCCAACCGGGTGCGAGAAACGGAGCCTATCGGATCGAAAAATTGGCCCTGATATCACACACACACAAGAGACGAGTCTTTCGTTCGTCACTCGTCACCGTTGGCGCTGCTTGCAGTGGCCACGACCTCCGACAAACACACCCGACACCCTCTTGTGATATGCAGACAGGAGTATCCGCGAGGCTGACAAACACAGCGACCAACACTTATCCATTGGTGCGGCGCAACCTCGGCTCGTTGAAGCTCTGCACACGAGAATCAGTTTTCGTAGACACGGGATATAACCCTTTAGTATATAACCCTTTGTTGTGTTTATTCCCCGTGGTGATGAACCCCTTCGCTCAGTTAATGCGCATATGTGTGTACTCTTTGCGTATTGCTCTGGAATATTTTTCTAGCCCAACAACTGTAGGACTCACTTTGGTAGAACCCCTTTGAAGCACGGGTGGTCCTTCGTGTCCACCATTCCTCGCCATCAGGATCGCCTTTACTCTTCTGCAGAGGACCTACAGACGATAGGAGGAAAATCGCGTGGGTGGGCATGCGCGCGACGCTGGCGAGGGTCCTAGCGTAGAGCATATTGCAGAAGGGAAAAAGACAAGTGGGGGTATACAGCTGCCCTTTCCAGATGAATGGGAGCCACATGAAAGCACGTCAGTGGGATCACCCCCCGTGCGTGGACAAAACGGGGAAACCGGTGGGTCATCTCGGAAATGAAAGACTTGGGGGTGGGGGTGCTACTCCCTTGTCGAAATTAGTAAGACCTTGGTGCGCCGACTTGCTGTCAGGACGAGAGACGTCCCCAAAGTCTGGAAAATATCGATGTCCGTGCTGGGCATGGAGCGCAGGTTGTTGGATTCCCAGCAGTTAGGGCCGCGCACAGGGGTGGGTGGGTGGGGGTCCCACTGGCGTGTTTTCGTACGGCCTCTATTATTATCTCCAAAGGTCAGGGATACACCCCCACTTACCTCTTCTTCTTCAACAAGGGACTAAATTGTTGCCCCAAAATATTCGCGGTAAATCCTAAACCAACAAATCGGGTGAAATCGAAGTGGGTGCTGTTGGCAACCTCACTGAAAGCTCAGCAAACCCGCAGAATACTACAACGGTCAAATGAACTTTCTTAAGTTAACACGTTGTGGATCAGCACTTGTTGCTAGTACCTCATGTCTACCACAAACATGTCAACGAAACAACAACACAAACACGACTCCCGAACGTAAAACTCTTGGCGGCACTCGCTAAGGTCGAACGCACCCTCTTGCAGGAGAGAGGTGTAACCCGAAACAGATCTCGCTTGTACAGCTCTGGGCAGACACCGAGACAGAGCATGGCCTATCGTGCTGCGTGCCATTGTTCTCCCTACGTGCTCTCGCTTTCGTGCGTAGGTGACTGACGGGGCGTGCAAAGTGAAAGTCCTAGATTACTCTCTCCACCTTGAAGGCTGTCCCCGGCATAAGTAGGGCACCCAAGGTTGTCGTTAGGAAACTTCAATCTGCCATCCAAAAAATACCCCCGTTTCCCTCTGCTGTGGTCTTCCTCGGTTTCTATGCATATGCTGCGGAGCTAAAACGCAAGGCATCCCTTCACTTCGATTGTAACGAGAGAAGGGCCCACCATTCTCTCTTCCACGTCAACAACTCAAGGTAAGTTTGTAGTTCGTGAGGGCGAGATTTGGATCAATGCTTTGACCAGAAAGGCTTTGAAAATAAAAATAGACCACGAGGACGGCTAATATGCACAGTTGTTGGGATTCTTAGCTGGTTGCTACCGAACTACACCAGTTGAATTCTCAAGCGATAATACCTGCCCGAGGTGCCCTCTCTCCCACGTGGTAATTGCATTGCGAAGCTCCATCTGGCACAACACGAATTCTTGGAGCTGAACAAAACTCGTTTCCTGCAGGTGTATCGCTCTCACGGCAAAGCTCACGACGCGAAGCTCACTCTCGACCATTCTTGCCAAAGGAAGAATCAATGGATGATCGAGCGTGTCCTTGCTGCGGCGTACTGCTTCGATTCGTTCGCTCAACCTGCGAAGAAACGCAACGAATGTTATCATACACGTTTAATATCGATGTTTTGTTTCAAGGGTTAGATTAGACATCACGCTCTCACGTGTGCACAAGGAAACTGCCAGTGCACATGAACAATTTTCCAAGACAACAGGACGCACAGGCAAGTTTGATACCGTGTGAACACCGCACAGGCAAGTGAGTCACGACTAGCTTGGCAAGTTAAGAAGAACAACATGATTGCCGCCGCCGCCTTCGGCCATTCATCCCGTACCTTCCAAACTCAACATCACCGAACAGCATCACACGCCTCCATGCATGCAGCAGGTGTCGCCGGACTTTCACGACAACACCCATTTGTCTCAGAAACTCAAGCAGCACGTCCAAGGGAGGCATGCCGACGCCCTCTGAGCGGTGACAGTGGCAAGATGAATACTGACGTGCATCTGTTTACATGTAGACAGGGGGGCGCATTGCCGTTGCGTCACATGAAACCCATGTAGTGACCATGCCGGAAACTCTTAAATTGGCATGTTAGAGTTCATTGTACCTAATGGGGAAAGGAGTGTTCCCCCGGGACAATTTTTGCGGTTGCTGGATGCAAGCGAGCACTTATCGCAATGTGCCCATAGTATCTTTGGAGTGGCTGCGTGGTGGACTCTGCGAAATTGAAGGCCGAAAAATCCAATTCTGGGATGTCCAATATCAAGTAGTGTGACATGCACGTAAGCACGTCCTTCCAACGGAAAACCGAGCACGTATGTAGCGTATTACAACCTTGCGGATGCATCTGGTGACACCTTTGTGAAGACAATATGCATGATTTTCAACCAATCAGTCATACCCATTGCATTCAACCTCCGTGGAGACCATAATGAGCTCGCACTAATCTAGAAGAAAGCGACAAGAGAGATTGCTCGGTTTCAACGTTGTGTGCCATTCCGCCATCCTGCACCTGATCAGTATTTGTAACAACGACCATCTCGACCACTAAGCTTTATGTCGACGGTTGTCTTGAGAGTGAGATGAGATGTGGCTTCATGTGCCACCGCTAATGAGGTGGTGATACCGTTTAGAAAATCGCAACATCCAATCACCTGTCATCACGTCCATTTGTCGCTGCTGCTCCTCATGTTCGCCAATGAAACCCTCGGCGACCATTTTCAGATCACACTCTATATCAAGCAATTTTTCATCCAGTTGATCCTCAAGGTCAGCATTCATCAACCTGCGATAGGAGACAGGCGCCAACCCATGCCCATGCCATTGTACCCAAGCAACGGCACGATAGAGACATACTTCAAGAGTTTGATATTGCAATAGGAATACCAGCGAGATCCTGCAAAACAGTTCAGTTGCAAATGAATGGCTCGTAACAGATGAAGCTGCACAAGATTAACGAGAAAATAAATCATCCAAAACTGCAGAATACAGTAGTTGTGGTGGACACGAGATCGTGGCGTTCAGATGGTTTGTCCTAAAGCGTTGGGTCTGTATATCAAAACGAGTTTCTGAAACACAAATGCGGCACGTTCTCGCGGGATCCTACGTATGCATATGCAAGCGGGACAGCATCGCATACTTCTCTGCTTGGGGGGGCGTACTCTTATGTTTTGCATGCCTCAGCGGTTAGACCATTGACCACACGTCCTCGAGAGGACGGAACATTGTTCCCACAGGACCGATCACCGATGGCCAGTTGTTCCTTCCTACTTTGCCAAAGGTGGCTCAAAATTGTCTTCCCTAGTCTATCTATCCTGACGATATCCCTACCCGCCTTTTCAAACCACTTCCTACTCCCTAGTATAGCTACCGTCCTGTCTCTATTCCATGCCTCAAACATCTCCCTGTACGTCCCTTGTAGTTTTCCCAGCCCAGTCATGTACACTTCCCTTTCCTTTTCGTACAACTGACATTCCGCGACTATCTGAACATGGTCTTCGCATTCGACGCCGCAATCACATTTGAACTTGTCGTCTTCGTCGTCTACCGTCCTATGTCTTCGTCGACGTTCTCGAAGGCCTATATCCCCGGTCCTGAATTTGACCTCAAGCTTTGTCCCTGCATCCATATCTCTCTGCTTGGGGGGGGACTGATTTACACTTCAGCGGGTGACCAGGATAGAAGCGTGCAACTACAGCTCGTGTTGTTCTGTATCTGTCAATATTGCAGACCGTGCGAAAGAAAGGCGTTCCATTCTACTCACATGCGTTCGACGGAACAGAAAAGCAATAGAGGGGCACAGGCAGCGATCCAAGGATTGCCCCTTAACTCGTCGTGCGTCCTGTGAGCAGCAAAAATAAGAAACATACAGGGACATTGCAGAACGTGAAGAAGATCTCTGGTCACCTCCTTGTACGCGAAACGTATCTCCGGTATACCACACTACCCCAGAACGCTGGTATCTCCACCGAGGCGACAAGAGCAAGCAGGCCCCTTGGAAGCGGCCGGCCGTATGCTAACAATTGCAATATTAATCTTCCTCACCTCTGTCGCGAGTAGTCGGGAAGAATCGCTAGACCAGCTTCGTGATGCTTGAAATCCGCGATGTTTTGTACGAAACTGTGTAAACAAATGTGGAACGGCCATGCAATGCCACGGTGGATTGAAGGGTTAAGTTAGGACCCACATATGTGATTCACACGGCAATAGGAAAATCTCTCCGTACAGCCTAGAAAATCTCTATTTTGAAAGAGCTGACAACAGACTCGTACACCGGGCAATGGCTCCTCCACGTCAACACCCTGGAACATTGTAGCATACACACAGAACACAGAACGTGGCAAGGGACGGGGACGATCACCAGGGAATGTATTGTGGTATGCTACAGAGCAGGCTCGGAGATAAGAAACGTCAATATCGGGTCGAGCCTCAATTCCGTATTTGGGTCGAAGGACCAGCCGAAGCAATAAATTTTCTTAAAATGGGTTTCTTATCTTTTGGGGCTGTCGCATCCTGCTGATTGCCTTGTGTTCATATTGTCTCAGGGCAAATCACAGCTCGTTTTGATCTCTGAGGACAACAACTTCAAGCCCTCTAGACAGGTGGTGGAGAGTGCTTTCAACCCCGTTCAGAAGACAGCATGTCGTGGCCCGCGACGTGTAGCACTTCAGAAGCGAGAAGCGTAGCCCGCGGAGGTGCTGTTTGGCTGGGGGCAAGGTGCCCGGGTTGCGCCGCGAAAATAATCACTCTTTGCTCGCCTAGGACATACATTGCACTAAACCTCTATTTACGGGGTGGGAGCAACCTGAGGAGAAGCGAGATGTTTCTTATTGGGCACAATCTCAGCTACCCTTTGTTTCTCATCTCAAGGGTCGCACGATCCTCTTTCTTATTGGAACGTTACGTTGTAGACGATACTCAGCCGTAGAGCTGTGCACTGTAAATCCATTTACGATACTCCTGCTGTAGGAAGCAGCCGTTTTTCCTCCACTCACTGAAAAGACTCCACCACATCCCGTTCGACTGTGGGTATATAGGTAGCCTTTCTGTATGTGTATTTTTTGTTCCTTTATGGAAATGTACACATACATACACTGCTGTCCGAAGACGGAGAATTGGATAATTGGAAACGTTTGTGGGTTGGGGAGGGCCATTCTCGTGCAGGCTCCCTGTTTACGGACGGTGATGTGACCACGTATGGATTTGGTCGTGATGTGCTATAGGCGTCAGCAAAAAACGACCGCTAAGCACAGCAGTCGGCGGTATGGGTGTATCTATGATACGATTGTGGATTGCGTGAATGCCGTGTTCTGTGAAGTGCCACCGTCTACTAGCATGTTCACCTCATCTCTACTTTGACGGGAAGAACGTAGTGCTAGAATGCTAGAACATATCACAGACATGGGGCTTGAAAAAATGGATGTACTCCTGTGGATGCGTGCTCAACATTGTTTTGGTGCGGCCACCTGCGAGGTTGGTCGCGGGCTTGCACACTTGAATTAAAAAAAAAAAAAAAAACTGGTCATATTGTTGTACAGCAGTATGTCCAGAACATGTACAACAGCAGTATTTCATACCTTGGCAACCTTTGCAGAAGAAGCTGGGCATTGCATGTCTTCACCATGTCGATTGTTCTCGTTGAACGTGTTGCTGTTTGAGATAACACACGAAATGATAACGCAATGTGTGCGCACTGTTGTGCTGTGTGCTGCACAGGAGTGAGTGGCACAGCACGTGTTTGCCGTGCGTCACGGTGCATCTGGGGGGTTGCAACAAAAATCATTACGCGGAACCCCGCGGGCTGTGAGCTTGTGTGGTGGGTGTGGTGACTGGTCGCCGCTCCCACAACACGTGTGGGGCTGCGACAGCATCCACTACTTCTGTAAGCATGGTAAGTCTCGTGGAACTTGATTCAGAGAGGGTTGTCTCGTGACATGTGCAAGCTGCTAACTTGTGTGCATAATCCCCACATGAACCTTGTTGATCTTTTGCTCCGTGCACTCGCGCTTGCCGTATCCAGTCGTTCTTCGTCCTGTACGAATCGGCGTCGGGTTATGCCCTGCTGGAGGTCATGGAAGCGGAAGAAGTAGGCAGCTTGCTGGAGGAGGTGCAGCAAGCAGTGTTGGATCCGCAGCGCTTCTGCCGAACGGTGAAGCTGAAGGGGTTCCAGCCATTCACAACAGCAGAAAACGCCCTCGAGAACGTGAACGCAATCAGCGAGCAAATTGTGACGGATGATCTCAAGGTGAGGAGGCCACGATATGGCAACATGAACACGAGTGTTCATTGGCCAACTATCCAGGTTTTATCCAGTATTGTTGGAGGTGGGCAGTGGTTGTCGGTTGTGCATTTTGCTCGGACCTCATCGAAGAAAATATCTGTTGCCAGGTTGCACCTTTTGTGTAGGTCGAAGCGCCACTCCCAGCCTTTCATCTCTCATCCGAAGGTGGGAGCGTTTGTCGCATGTTGCGCATTCGAGGGCTGTATGTACCTATGCCCGTGGGTTTACTGGTGTCATGAGTTTAGTTGGTTGTGGATGCAATCGATCAGGGTGAGTCGTCAAGTAAAGTTCAAACTCACGCCTGTTTCTTTGTACATTTGAGACTTGCGTTTAAGCAGTGGTCATCACATGTTGGTCTAATTTGTAAGATGTGACAGCACAGCAGCAGCAGTAGATGCAGTACCGAGCTCATGTCCGTTGTCCTTCAGCATATTTGTTCACAATAGCTTTAGTAGGTTAAAATGTCGTGTGTTCACTGCCGAACAACCGACACTCACGACGCTGCTTTGTTGATCTTGCTTACCAAATGTGCGGTACGGTACGCAAGAAACATAAAGTTGATAAATGGGGTAAGAACGCGTTGCCCGGCGCTGACCCTCTCTACTATTCTGAGTTCAGTATTATAGTTGCACCCATCTCTTGCCCGAAGCAACGCGGCGCTGTGACCGAGCGCCCGTAAATTTATCATGGGTAACCATACATTGTAGGCTTCTGGTGGTTTGTTGACCTCGAACCCTCTGCCGCGTTCTGTCGCAGAACTTCCTCGAAATGAACCTGCCGAAGGTGAAGAAATCCAAGTCGGCGTCCTTCCAGCTGGGCTGCATAGAGCCCGGGCTCGCCAGCGCCATCCAGGATCGTCTCGGTTTTCCATGCCGCTCCGATGAGACTGTCAAGGAAATCATCAGAGGAATCAGGGTGCACTTTCACCGGTGAGGAGACCCGGTGTTCCTTGAATGCTCATGTGTGTGCATCTTGCGGCACTGCTGCACTGAAGACAACGCTGGCACGTGGTGTAAGGAAGGCCCTCTGCGGGTTGTTATGCATATTCTGTAGCAACCAACACACGTTCGACCTTGCGAGATATTTGTCGTCCTCAAGCATTCTCTGGGATTTGAACCGAAGGTTGGGACTCGAGCAGAATTTGTTTGCCCTCGACTGTGTTGAATGCGATCCGTTGCGTTTCCGTACATCGGTGTCGTTTGGCCATCTTTTGAGGGTGTACTCGATGTGTGATATAGCATGACCTCACGTGCCGAAGAATAGCACATCTACTAAGGGTTTACTACTAAAATACTGTATGCATAGTCCATTACAGCGGTTTTCCCGTCGTAGCATATAGGCGAGCTTAGCGGCACGCAGCGTGGTGGGAAGAAAGTTGTCAGCCCACGTGCTTGATATGAACCTGACCTGACGCTTTCATCTGAACTATTTTGTTTATGAACATCTGTAACACTCAGGTTCGTAAAAGAGCTTGACGGCGGAGTGGGCGAGAAGGCACAGTTGGGGCTCGGCCACAGCTACTCGCGAGCGAAGGTGTGGAAGTAGATGTCTCACGGAGGCTTGATCAGTTTTATTTTTCTACATGACGCCCACAGAAGGAATTGTATGGGCGTTGTGGTTGAGCCTTATGTAACAAACTGTATTCAATGCTTCACAACGGTTGCAAGCTACTCCACAACTTATGCACGAACGGGTTCACGCAAAGTCAGCACCGTCCAACCCCTGGCATCCACTAGTCATCAACGTGGTGGGCCTCTCATGTTTCGTCCCTTTTTTTTGACGTAGGTGGAAATTCGAAAGTTTGTTTCTAGTTTTTTGCTGGCGGGAAGCGGAGTTTCTCGTTCCTTCAAGTTGTTGTCACTCGAACAGTACTGAATGGGGGAATAGTCCCACCCACAGGTGCACGACGTTGTAGTGAGCAACAAATCTGATCCATATGGTGGACTTCAATGATGAACATCGATTCTGCAAGTCCGACTCAAGAATGAGGATGCGAATCCTTCACTTTGACCTGAGAAGTCCACTCATTTGTATTACGGTAGTTCTTGTCCTGCTCTTCGTTTTTTCTTTTGTGTGTGTTGCTCGCTGACGTCTGCTTTTTCCGATCTCTGTTGGTGTGGAGCAGGTGAAGATGAACCCGGCAAGGTCGGACAATATGATCATCCAAAGCATCTGCCTGTTGGATCAACTCGACAAAGACCTTAACACCTTCGCTATGCGGGTCCGTGAGTGGTACTGCTGGCACTTTCCCGAGCTCCGCGAGCTCGTCAAGGACAACTACATGTTCGCCCGGTGTGCTGCATATATCAAGGTGTGTGTTGCACGCGACTGCTTCTGGGCGAGGTCACGCGTACGGATTGGAATCATCCTTGTTGATAGTTGAACTTAAGGAGAAGCGCTTGACCGTTCTTCCTGCATTTCACATTTCAGGACCGCGCTGCATTTGACGAAGAAAAGCTTCCCGGGCTGAACGAGATTGTCATGGACGAAGAACTGGCTGCCGCTATCCTTAAGGCATCGCGTCACTCCATGGGGATGGATGCCTCTCCGGTTGATATGTCCAACATCGTCACGTTCTGCGAACGAATGGTGAAGCTCGCCGAATACCGGAGAGACCTCTACGCGTACCTGGTGGACAAGGTATGCTTCCATTTTCATTTCACCCCGACACACCCTCGTGCGTGATAGGGGTGTTTTTCAAAACCCATGGAGCTCCCAAACCGACTGACCAGGGAAAGAACTTCTCTTCACTTTGAAATCCACGGGCTCCCTCGTCTTTTGGACCTCGGAAGATGTGTGTTTTCCTCACCACACACCCTGCGGTGACTGACTTGTTCTACATTCGAGCCAGTGTGGTGAGACGGACTACTGAAGTATTCAATGATCACCCGGGCAGTCCAGATGAACAATGCCCCTTTTATATGCAACGTGAATCCGGAGGTCGGATTCTGTTGTCCATTCGCGGCCCTGATACAACGATTTTGACTCTTGCCCGCACGCCGCTGTTCTTTCCACCCAGATGGGAATTGTTGCACCAAATCTGGCAGCGCTGATCGGTGACACGGTTGGTGCTCGGCTGATTTCGAAGGCGGGCTCGTTGACATCGCTAGCAAAGTGCCCGGCATCGACAGTGCAGATCCTAGGCGCCGAGAAGGTGCGTGTCGTTTTTTCTTGCTGCAGTCGTGACTAATTGAAACGGGCGCGGTGTGGAATGAAGAAGTAAGTGATTGAAACACTTGCGCGGCCATTTTGTTTTTTCACTGCGTTTGTGTTTGTTTTCCGTTCCAGGCTCTCTTCCGGGCTCTAAAGACTAAGGGGAACACCCCCAAGTACGGTATCATCTACCACTCTACTTTCATCGGCCGTGCCGCCGCGAAGAACAAGGGGCGAATATCGCGCGTGCTCGCCAACAAGTGCGCGATCGCGAGTCGAATCGACAGGTGCGTGTGACGGTTGAACCGCTTGAGCCCGACAGGAGTTTGGTGTAAGCGTACCGGATGGGTTATTCGCATTTCGCGCCGTTCGCTTCGATTTCCCTCGTGCCATCTACGGCGCAAGCTCTGACGTAACACAAAACTTTTGTCTACACTGCAATCTGCGTCTTTGTGTCTCGTTGCTTGACCACAGCTTCAGCGACGAACCCTCTACCAAGTACGGTGACGAGCTTCGGGAGCAGGTGTGTGGCGCCTTCCAGTGCAGAATGAGTTCTTGGGCGATTTGGTACCTTGTGGTCATGCTCCTAGACAGCCGTGGTGAAACACACCCTGAATCACGCACACTCTTGTGTTGTCGCTGCTTTTTTGAACAGGTCGAGGAGCGATTGAAGTTCTACGATACTGGAGAGGCTCCCAGAAAAAACATCTCGGTCATGGAGAAGGTAGCGGCGGAGATCGCAAGAGAAGGGGGAGAGATTGCAGAGGTGTGCACCCCATCATCGCAGAAAAAGAAAAAGAAGAGGGAACGCAAAGAGGAGGACGAAGATGCCGTGGCCGCCGTTGACGACGCTCCCTCCTCCAAGAAGAAGAAGAAGAAGAAGAAGAAAGCGACGGCGTAAAGAGCAGCATGTAATTTACCTTCACAGTTGTTTGCCGAATATCAGTGTTCGGCGGAATGAATGACTTGCACGTGCGTTGGCACATTTGGCTAGGTCGTGTGGTAGTTTTCTGTTTGCGACCACTGCTTGTATGCAGCTGGACGTTTGCACGGGCGACTTTCGATGTCGAAGAGGATTTCAGCAGGGTATGCCACAGCATGTGCTGGTTGTCTCTTCTTCTGTCGAAACGACTCCGAGAATAGGGAGACAGCACGTGTGGGAAATATACCAGTGGTCTGTTGTTTTTCGCCATCTACCTGATGGGCACGTGTGTGTGCATGCATACGTGAAACTTCTTTTGCCCCTTCCTCTGTAGAACGATAGTAACCTTGCAGCGACGTGGTCTTACGGAACCTCCAAATGCAAGTGCCATGGGGGCTAGGTGTGAGAATGCCGGAACGCTGATTCGGGGGAGAACACACAACAAGGTCGCCTCTGATGGAAACTAATAATATGTGTCAGTATACATCTGCCGTGTGAAAAGTCCCGATTGTTGCCACCGCGGCATTCTGCAGACAGGCCGGGTAAAATATTGAGTCACTACTGACTGTTTGCTGTGGACCAGCACGCGGTTTTACGTGGCCAGTTTTAACTCGAAAGCATTGACCGTTTCGGTGATCATGTCAAGCGCCGAGGCACCAAAAGAGCGAAACTCCACACATTGGTTTTGTGCCAACTATCAAGAACAATCATTTCATTTGCTTTACCCTACGCGCCCCAACCTGCAAGCATCACGTATCACTCATGTATCCCTTTCTTGCGTTTGAATCACACCCTTAAATATCTTACTATCTATTATCTGCGGACACGTCAAGGAAAAGACCACGAACGCACTACACAAAAAAAAACACCCTGTGAGTAACTCGAACTTTTCGCGTCGAATCAAGTCCAATGGCAATGGGCAGTTTCACAGGCGTCGTTTGTTTCTGGTTCGGTAGCTTCGATGACGCTATTTACTTGATCTGAGAATGTATGTAGTGCGGTTTCGCTCAGTGTTCACAGTGTTCACAGCCAAATAAATATACATCCTCTCCGGGTCACCGGGTATAGTGCTCTTCGGAGGTAACGTCCAGTAATATCTTGTTTTGTGTGGAATACAAATATGTCAGCCTCGAAGGGGGAAGAGTCCGAAATCTCGACCTGTTGGATTGAATTTTCTGTGCAGCTAGCAGGACATGTTCATTCATTCTCGCAAAGGTTCCGCATGAGGTTCCATGCGTTTGTGTGCTGCTGTTTTTATTGTCTTAACAACTAAAAACTGCTCCGGACTCCGTTTAGTCCTTCTCTAATGTCCACGCTGGTCCGACAGACGCGGACATATTCCGTGGTCACAAGGCAAACTCGAACGACAGCAGTAAGCATTGTAGGTACAGCAGTAGTCCTCCTGACCCCATATTTTGAAATTTGAAATTTTGAAAAATGTGTGTGGACCAGCTGGTGTGGACTTCGGATGACGAACCCCAGGGGGGGGCTTGGGGGGTTCCGTGTAATTGGACCGAGCAGAGAGAGCAGCAACACCAAGGAAGGTGTGTGTACAGCGGCAGGGACTACAGCAACGATGACAACATGGGATGGTTCGGGCATGAGCCAGGAGGATTTCATGGTTAAAGACGAGGTATTATGATGATGCATTGCTCCAAAAGACGCAATCAAATGATTGGCTGGATCACATGCTACACCTGCTATCCCAGTCTGTTTCCCGTTCACGCAATAGTTCGCTGCGTTGGAAGGCACCTTAGACCAGCAGTTTTATGTGGACTTTTCGTGGACCCAGCGTGCATAGTACACGAACATTTGCGTTCAACTTACTGCAGTCGATTTCCAATCTGGTACCGGTAGGTGATAGCTTTGGACGAAGACGACCAAATCGTGGGACACGTGAACAAGTACCTGTCGCACCGGTTTGTTCCTGGCACGCCAAGGGGCATTCTACATCGAGCCTTCAGCGTTTTCCTCTTTGACCAAGACGGCAAGCTGCTGCTCCAGAAGGTGAGATAATGCTTCGAAGTAACAACGAAGATGAATCCATATTTGTTTTATAGCTATTCAGTGAACCACACACTCAACCCTTTTGTTCTTTTTCGAAAAATCATGTACTCCAACATCACGTGAAAGCGAAAGGGTCCCCTTTCTGATCTTGTAAACCTGCCTCTGCCGAAAAGGACGTGCAGAGTTGCTGTCTGGTGTCATCAATTTACTACTTCTTGCTCAGTACCAACTTGATAAGCACATGCTAGCAGAGGTTCTCGGTCCCCTATTTTTGATACTCTTGTGCACACTGCTGTTGTATTTGTAAGGAGGGTCTGGGGGCCGGGCGCTGTTCATGATGCGGGGGCCCCGTCCTCTATTATAGTTCCCCCAAGAAGACAATGTGTGTCTAGAAACTGCTGTTGTAAATATCTTTCGGCCACGGTCAGACGAGATCTGCTGTTGTAGTACGTGCAGTCTATGCACTTGACTCAAAAGGGATAGTAATACAGTTGTAGTATTCACGCGCACACACTGGCAGCAATGGTGCTTGGGGTTGGGTGTTGACTCTTCCTTGTACTGAGACACAAGGACACTATAGTACAGCACTTCTGTCGTCCAACTCCTTGGTCCGCCCGGTCCACGTAACTCTATGACTAGACTATAATAGGTCTTTAGAAGGGTTTTCTGTTTTCAGCCGAGCTGAGACTGACGTCTTGGTCATCCGGTTAGCGTGCCGGATGCAAGTAGTAAACGCGCACACACACAGGCTTGACCGTTCTTCTCTTCTCCTCGACGACCGCCCTGTCACCGGAGGCCAGCGCTGTACGTACTTTTCATGTACAGCGTTTTTTGCGACGCGAAAACGGACGGACGTCTTCGTTGCCCAGAATGTTGGCGCATTCGATGCTCCATTCGAAACCACACAGCCACGTTAGTGCGCTCACCCGCTCCGGACTGTTGCTTGTACATTCATTTTTCCTGATAGGTTAGCCCTGTCGCGGTGTCTTTGCCAAAAGTGCGGGAAACGAAAACACAAAAGGTTTTGTAGTTCCGGGCAGGGCTTGCATGGGATAGACGAACGTTTGTCCCGTTTGTCCCATATTCATACGTGCCGATGGAATGTTATTTTTGCGTTCTGGGCTTGGCCGCTTTGAATTCCTGCCTCCTGCAACCTACATTTATTTTCCTGCCCCGGTCGGGAGAAAGTAACTTTGAGACTTGACCGACTGACACTACGTCTTTCTTTTTTCCTGTCGATTAGCGCGGTCGATGCCAATTCAAGAAACGCACAAGCACAGCAGAAACTATTGTGTTGACATGCAGTAGTGGCCGCTGAGTTGAACTCCCAATTCCTGCTGACACGTACGTCCTCCTGGCAACATTCTCCGAGTATGGAATGTCCATGCGTTGTGGTGCTTCGAGACGTTTTTCGCTGGCGGAAGCATGTCTTTTCTCACGCTTCCTTCTCAGGGACGCGCAGGGGTGTCGTCGGTACATTATCTGCACGCCCGAGGACTGCCAGCCACCCATGGAGCTTGTGCTTGACGCCCAAAGTTGAAAAAACTGGCTTCATACCCCGGGGACGTGTTCCCCCCGAAGAAAGAGTCCGCAAGAAATACGAAAAAAACTGCTTTGCGTGAAACGGGGAAACTTTTGTTATGATTGCTGCGCAACGGACACAAGCCCCAGAGACCCATGGGCAACACGAATACATAAGAGCGAGTGATCAAACGCAACGCATTACAGCAGTAGGACCTGCTGCAAATACGTCATGAGCCTAAACGGATACGCTCACGCACACGCGAAAAGTCACAGCGAGACAAAAAAATACCCCGCACATGATGCAAAATTACAGGCATATTCTGCAGGTTGTACACAAAACTGGCACTCACTACGGAGCGTCATGACGTTGAGATGCAACGATGCAACCGCGATGACATCGACCATGTCCTCTTGCGTCGCCCCCGCGAGGCACGCCACCTTACGTCCGAAGGGTAGCCTTGTATTTTGATATTTTTCCTGTGCCGTATTCATAGCTAAGAAATACACGTACTTTTGATGCTTGCTTGCGCCCGGTTTGTTTCTACTCCAGCGCGCGGCTAGCAAAATCACGTTTCCGAACGTTTGGACGAACACCTGCTGCTCGCACCCACTCTACGGCTACGAGCGTTCTGAGGTAAGTAATGTTTCCCCGTGGTAACTCACCTGCTTGCTTCGGCACCGGTCAACAAGAGCACCGTGCTGCCACGCGGTGCGCGACGAGGTGTATGTACACGTATTCGTACCCGGGGATTTCTACGTGGCGTTTTGTCGGAAGACAAGACCAATGCACAGCAGGCGCTGGACACTGTGTGCATGTAACACAACGTTGACAGAATGTAACGCACGAATAGGAGGACTGTGATGAGAAATCTAAACTGAGGGAAGCCTAGGTTGCATAGGCACCGACTGCTGTGTGCGAGTGATCGCACACACCCTCGATAGATTGGTCCGCAACCAAGAGGCAGCCAATGCCGACAAGAAATGCACCGGAAAGAACTAGTCGAGATTTTTTCATGCCGTATCGGTCAGTTTGCGTACCCTCAAGGTTGCGGAGTACTGCTGTGGTCGAGCTGTGCAAGTGCTATGGTTGGGACTATGAAGAAGTTGGTGGCTTGGCACAACACGGGGTTGCTGTGATACCATTCCATTCACCCCTGTCAGCACGTTTGCCATCTCCTTCCATCTGTGATACAGGTAGACAAACCGGAGGACTTGAAGGATGGATCCGTGCCGGGCGTGAAGAATGCTGCCGTCCGCAAGCTAGCTCATGAGCTTGGGATTGCAGCTGAGGACGTGCCGATTGATTCTTTCAAATTCCTGACGCGCCTCCATTACTATGCGGCAGACGCTGTGACGCATGGCCCCAACGCCCCTTGGGGTGAGCACGAGATCGACTACATCCTCTTTATTCAGGTGACTTTTCGCGCCCGAATTGATGCTGTATTCGTGCTGACTAATATACAACAACGAACATGAAGTGCACGGGTGTTAGTGGCAGGTTTTGTGGCTGGAAGGAGTTTTTCACAACAACTTGTGATGAGACTGCCATTGAAGTCAACTTGCGTTGGTGGTGACTATTGTTTGTGTTTCGTGTGGTGTTTTGGTGCACCGACTCGACTGCGGGACCAGGTGGACAGCTCGCTTTCGATGACACCTCATCCGGATGAAGTCGATGCTGTCAAGTGGGTGTCTCTGGAGGAAATGGATGGCATGATGAACGACAACGGTGCGTGCTTTCGATTTTTTGTCAGGAAAGCACTGTCTTGCAGACAGCAAACAAGGAACATCCTGCACCAACAGATGAACATGTCAGTCAACTCGCGATTGCCGTTTGAAGGCCAAATGCATGGTTTGGTGCCGCTTTCGTCATCCCAGAGAGAGAGAATCAAACTGACCAGGACGGGACACGGGCGTCAACGATTTCAATGCGGCTCTTGTTTTGTGGGTGAATTCAAACCACAATTTTTTGCGCTTTCTGTCGCGTTGCACTTTCTTTCCTTTCGAAGCCAACCTCTGGTCGCCCTGGTTCCGCATCATTATGGAGCGCTTTGCGCGAGAATGGTGGCTAAACTTGAACGACGCCATCAATACCGACAAGTACATGGACACGGTCAACATTCACCGGTTCGATCCGCCTGCCAAGCATCGCGGGGGTGCGGGCGTTACTGGTTTGGTAGAGGAAGGCGCGAAGGCAGCAACCATCGACAAGTGAGGACTGACGGTTATTGGTAAATTTCTGGCCTTGTAATAATTTGTGTGGCATCGCGTGCCGAGCGGAAGCGACGGGCTGTGTTCATTCATTCAGATATCTCCTCTGCACATGTCGCCAGGGACGTCTGAATGTTTTCTGTCTGGAGCTTTCTTTTGTTTTTGCGTTTGTGATGTGTTTCTGCGTCTTTCTCAATTTTTATTCGAAAGGTGTGTTTTGTCATCCTTGAATGGTTGACCTGTGACCACAGAAGGCGTCAGCGCAAGTTGGACCAGTACAGGTGTTGGAAGGAACCGAGCAGAGACGGGCACGTTTTTTTTTACAATGAAGTCAACCTTACCACCAACTACATTAACTGACCTTCGGCATGTAAATGAACTTGCGTTGACACTGTATGTTTGCAACACCGGGCGACTTTTGAGAGGGGCACGGCGGTAGGGTCTGCAAAACTCATCCTTAACCATAATTTCCTATTTTCCCGACGTTAGCCTACAGAAGTTGATGTTTTTGTCTTTAAAAGGTTCAAAACGCGACGGTTCAGCAGGTGATTTAGGGTGCCCGAGGTGGGCTGAGATGGGGACTGAAAACCGTATGACTCATCAAGACAAATCATTTGTCCTGTTCTGGTTCACGTCAAACATTTGGTCATCGCAGAGGGAGTCTACAAGTCGAGTCGTGAATGCTGAACGCGCTTCCTGCCGGGTAGCGTTGATACTTAAATCTACATGATCTTTATTTATACTGGTTGCAACGCTTTAGTCATGTGCACTGCCGTTGATCCCACCGGACGTTCTACTTGCCTCCTTTGTCGACATGAAGACATGATGGCATCCTGCTACGCACACCGAGCCTGTGTCAGAATGGATTGCAGAAGCGGCTCGATTGCCCGTCTGCTTCAAGGGAAGGAGACAGACACAATCGACGTCGTCCTGTCTTGGTCTCTTCGTAAATCTGTTTTCAACCTTGAACAGAGGGAGAAATTTACTCCTTTTTTTGTACGTAAATTTTCGATGAGGTGGCACTTGGGGGGTAGTGCTTACTGACTTTGCATGGTTCCGTGCTTGACCTGTCATTTTTCTATGATACAGGTCGAAGAAGCAGGGCGCGTATGGGAAGGTTCCGACGATCAAGGCTGGAAAACTTGCCCAGCTGTCACACGTGGACGAGGTGACCCCACGTGGCGTCTTGTTTACTGGAACAGTATATGAAATTTGTAGTGGAGTTTTCAGCATGGGGAGGATCGATGGATACTCGCGATCAGCAACATCTGCGTCGCTCGGGGAGTAACTTTTGTCGTTTCTTAAAGCTGGGGTCCTTTCCTGGCCGGTGTTGAAAGTCTCGCTATGCGTTCACTCTCCGTCTTGTCGTTGAGTTTGGTTCATGGCGTGATGACGTGCTCCTGGCGGCGGTACAGTATTTGACATGATGCCCGCTTGCCTGCTGAATGCTTGTAAAACCATAACCAGGTGTTCGCGGCGTTGTGGTTCAAGGCGAGGGGTGCCTTCTCGAACAACCTTGACCAGGAGGACTCTGACGTCGCTTTCTGCAACGATATGCTCGGCAAGGTAAGCCCCAGTGCTGTGGTAGTGCTAACGAACGACACCAACACACGGACTGCCGTCGAGGGTACAAGGTATGTTCTCACACGTGCTGCGATTGTTGCTCCGCGTTGCTGAATGTTGTTGCAAGGAGTGAAACCAAGAGTCCTGCATCTATCCGTTGCTCAACATGGCTCGCAGGTTAGCCGCTCTTTCGCCGCGGTCATCAGGCAGCTCCCGAAAATGCTCGCCACAGATATTGTGGTGTTCTATTTGGTTCTTCGAGGGCTTGACACTGTGGAAGATGATATGACGGCCTTTGACGACATCCAGGTTTGTCTCTCCTTCCCAGTGCCAGCAGAAGGTAGTGGTGGCTTTCCAAGGCAACTCGATACGATGTTCTTTGTCTAGCCATTTCCTGGTATGCTTTGTGACTTGGACTCCTCGCCACCGCTGTTCGGTCGGTGGAACTTATTTCGTTCCAGCACTACTATAACAACGTTGCATAACGTTGCGTGGGCATTAGTGCATGTCAGGAGAAGAGTCCACCATGTTGATTCGATGTTGACTCGTCAACGGGCATTGCGTTCTTCAGGTGAAGATCAAGCTTCTGACGAAATTCCACGAGACTGCTCTAGTCGACAGGGCGTGGAAGCTCGAAGGAGTTGGACAAGGGGATGAGCGCGTTCTTCTTGAACGGTTCTCGTCCGTGACGGCCGTGTTCCAGTCCTTGTCCCAGGGCAGCCAGGAGGTAGGTGTGTGTTGTTGCCCCGATTCTTGTTTTTTAGCACGGGGCTGTGATTGTTCGAGCGAAGCGAGATTTGTTATCTCGCCTGAAATATACCGCTCCAGTCAAGAAAAAAAAGTTTGCATGTGTGTCTGTTCGCTTGAACTTGGTTTTAGACTACATGACTTGATTTTAGACTACAGGGGTCAGCAGACGCACTACTTTTTTTTCGGAGCACACTGTCAACGGATTGCAGCAGAGGACACACGCACAGCGGGACTGCGGGCGACACCACAGAGCCGACAACACACTCACAGCAGACAGTGTACGCATAACAGGCGACACACACGCACAGCGGGCGATAGCATCTGGGCTCGATGCCGCTGGACTCTCTGTGGTGTGATGAGGCTATGTATTGCTCTGTCGCGCATGTTTTTTTTATGGCCGCGTGCAACTGCCAGCAATGTGAGCACAGCACCACATTAGTTCTCGAAACCTAGGACGCCGATCGCCATCGCACCACTTCGAGCGTGTGCTCCATTGTGGAGTCTCTGGGCGTGATAGTTGTGTTGGACATGGGTGCTGTATGTGGCGAGAGCATCGTGGCGACGTGAAATCCGGTTTGGCTTTTTCGCCTGGCGATGCGACCCGATTGCCCGGGCCGAAAAAAAACGATTTGGATTCCACGCCGCCACGAACATCTTCCCACACACAGCACTCATGCCTAACATAACTGTCACGCCCCAATATATCGCAATGGAGCACACGCTCGAAGTGGTGCCATGACGATTGGTGCGCTAGGTGACGAGAACTGATTTGTGTCCTGCTGTTTCGCTGGCAGTTCGAAAAACATCGAACAAAGTAAGAGGGAACAGGGGGTTCAGCACTAGTATGCGCGGGGTATGTATGACCACGAAAGCGGGATGTGGACGGGGGGGGGGGGTAACGGGCAGGTGAAAGTTAACCACAGATCTCACACCAGCACAGCAGGTAGGTGAAGTATCAAGCGTGTGGTGTCTGCACTCTGTTTCCGCCCGTAGACGCACACGTCTGACGACAGTTACACCTATCAGCTGTCGCTCGTTGTAGAGACAGCTGGTATATTTTTAAGGCTGTGTCATCATGCATCTGATCCTGCGTCTCGTAGAACGCAAGACCTTGAGAGTTTCGATTGTGTTCGGAGTTAAAAGAGTGTCTAGATCGAGACAACTGTCTATTTTGGGGCTAAGACGAGTTTTCCGGGGGTGAGTTCCTCGTTTTTGAAACATGAGCCTCAGCTCTCAAGTAAACGTGAAGTTGGAACATTGGCGTTTGAAGCCCTTTTTATCTCAAACCCATCCTTTTTACGTGATCGAAAATCCCGTTTGTAATAGGTGATCTCTGACATCACCAAGCGCATGGGGGCTGGAATGGCGGAATTCGTGTCTAAGGACCTGGGGCAAGGCACGACTTCCACCGTAGACTACGACGAGTACTGTCACTACGTGGCTGGCCTGGTGGGGGATGGGCTTACTCGGCTCTTCGTGGCAACTGGCATAGAAGGGCAAGAGTTGCTGCTCGCTCCGGAACTTGCGAACAGGTGCGGTTTCAGTCGTTCTTCACAGCGTGGGGCCACGACTTTATGTCGAAACGACACTTTCAAATTCTTTCAAATTTTAGCGGATTCCCGTCTGCTTTCAAATTTGGCCACTCAAATCTGTTTGTATACGCTCTGACTCGTGCAGACCACCGCACTTGCACGCATACCCAATTCGAGGGTGTTGCAGGCCAGAAATCCAATTTTGAGAGTCTTGCGCGCTGTGTTTGAATTTGAATGTACATGTACAGCCACAGTAAAGACCGCCCGTTCGAGATGAAAACCTGTTTTGTTTGGTATTTTGCGCGACTCAAAAGAGACATGCGAAAAAATAGGGGAAAAAAGGAAAAAACGACCAACCAGCCCGGGGCTGTCTAGTGTTTCCCGCTCGGTGCTTCGGTGCTATCGTGTATAGTCTAGGCGTTTTGGGCAACAGGGTCAATCCTAACAGCTCTCCGGTGTTACTACAACGTCAAGCGGGAAACTCATTATGTTTTACGGGATGGAAGAGCACTGTTCGGGTTATGTGCGCGCACCATGTGTGTGCGACTCATTTGCGATTATCGTGGTTACCCTGAACATGGTCGTCTTACCGCAGCATGGGGCTCTTCCTCCAGAAAACCAATATCATTCGGGACTACCTCGAGGACTACGTGGACGGGCGCGCTTTCTGGCCTCAGGACGTGTGGAAGAAACACGCCAAGACTGGCCAACTGGGAGAGTTTGCCCTTCCTCAGTTTCGGTATGTCGTTCCTGTAGTAGTGCGAAGCGACTTGCTCCCAACACTACCTTTTGCCCCCGCTGAGCAAATTTGACTTTACTCTTCTGCGCACTTGCTTTGCAATACAAACCGTTGGTGTTTAAAGGTTGCCTCGGGCCTGCGTTGGAGAGTCAGTCAATCGGCACACATAAGGCGTTGGAGGAGGGCGTGATATTCCAAACGTTCCAAGCCCATGAGCTCCGACGCAACCTGCGCACTACACTGATGCTGACGTGACGCAAGACATTTTTCGCCCGCTACGGGTGCGGGTGTTTGTTGTTCTCGCCCGAGTTGTAGTCTACTCGGACATGGCTGTTCGAGACTGCCTCAAGGACTCCAAAATGCCTTGACCACGCCGAGCAAATTTGCAGCCTCGCTCACTTGCATGCTGTTCCCAATCTGATTTGACGTGTGTGCGCAGGGATAATGCGTTGGCATGTTTGAACGAGCTCGTGACTGACGCTCTGGCTCTGGTGCCCGATTGCCTTGCCTACATGCGGCAAATTAAGGACCCCGAAGTGTTCCGCTTCTGCGCCATCCCCCAGGTGAGAGGATCGACCTGGTATTGTGACAGGTACTGCTTCCACAAGGTGTTGGTCTTGGTATGCAGCGCATTGATGGCATTCGAGCGCCTTGCTTGATGCAGCACCTGCCCGTTCGTTACCCGCGTGTATATGTAAAACAGGTGATGGCCATTGCCACACTCGCGGAGATATACAACAATCCAGATGTCTTCCGTGGGGTTGTCAAGATTCGAAAGGGGCTGGCATGCCGCATGATTTTGGAAAGCGGTAATTTGGAGGGCATCTTCTCCTGGTTCAACAAGTTAGCTGAAGGCATCGCTGCCCGTGTGCCTGCGTTGGATCCTTGCGCCAGTCGCACAACAGAAGTGTGCAAAATTGCTGTGGACATGACGACCCCCACGGGGAAGGCGCTCGGGACGAGTAGGACAAAACTTGTTCTCTTTTCGGTTCCGGTGCTGCTGTCGGCCGCATACTTGTACCGAAGGTGACAGCACTTGTCGCGCCGTCGTTTAGGTTGAGTTATTAGGCGTACGTGGGGTCTCCTCCGTGCGTTGGCAACTTGTCGTAAGAGTGCCCGCACTCGGTGCAGGAGCGTTTTCTGCCGGTAAGCTCGACGTGATGCCGTTTTTGTGGTGCTCTCGAAACTATATAATTTAGAGCTGGTACCAATAACAACTTTAACGTACTACTACCTTACCCTCTGACGTGTATTTCGATGCGCTGAAAGGCGCGTTCTGTCTGAAATACGTGCACCCGATCGTGTGCCCTAAGCACCGCGCTAGAAGTTCTCTCCTCTAGCCGCGGTGAAACGCGGCGGGTCGCAAACGAAAAGCATGTCGCACGCGAGTAACCAGTGCAGTACGGGTATACCATATTCCGAAGACAAAAGCGGAGATCTACAACTCCAAGCGAGGATATTGCTATTGTCAAACCCCCCCCCTCCCTCCCGATTTCTCGCTCCCTTGCGAAATTTCTTGAACATAACAGCATGTCTTTACATGTACACACAGCAATAAAATCGGCTGCCCCACGGCTTTCGAAAACCGGAGCCAACATGACATAGAACACCACAAGCCCATGAATATATGCATCGAACGCTTATTGCACTCTTTCTTAAAACCAGCACCACATGTACATGACCCGGCTGTTTAGCTCTGGTGGTCGATGTCAAGATTTGTCGAGTTGGAACGGATGATGGTGTTGGTCCTCTTCCGCGCCGAGGCAGCCCCTTGCACACGTGTGGACGAGGTGCTCGACACGTACAGGGAGTGCGACCGATACACGGCACTGCTGGTTGTGCTGGTCTGCTTGAACGTTACATCCCTGAAGCGTGAGGGATACCATGTGCAGGGAATGAAGTGATAAGGAGTGAGCAGGGGCGAGTCACAAGTGAATCGGGCCATGGGTATCAGATGATTCGAGCAGCACTTGCGAATAAAAAACCATCCGTCTATAAACAACACACCGAACCCACTAACCTCAGGCCTGGCCGTTGGTTTTTCCCGTTGCCACCTTGGGATACTCTCCTCCCCCGCGTATTGCCGATTCGTGGCGTGTGTCGCCCTCTGGTTGCGAGAGTCTTGGAGCGAGACGCACTCGGAGGTGGAGGAGGCATCACCTGAATGAACGGTGACAGCAGGATGACATGATTGATCATATACACCATATTTTCATGGCGGGAAACATTGAGATGTCCTGTTGCTACTTGTATCACTTACCGGCCGCCTTCCCTTGGTGCGCTGCTCTTGCCTGAAGTAGTCCAGAGCAGCGGAGAAGCGTTGCTGTAAAGAGTCGGGTGTGGCGCGTGCGATCAAGGTCAGTCTCCAAAACCGGTGAAAAGGTACGTCTGCCCTTATCGACACAAAAAGTGCGACAAACGAGTTCGCCGGTCCTTCCACATCTCTGCATCATACGATAATCAGGCGGATGTCAGTGGAGTTGAGCAACCGGCAAAAAACTTAAGAGAAACCATGAAATTGGGGGCCGCCCACCCACTGGCAGGGTGGATACTCTCCCCACACCACAATAAATGCCACTGTATTACACACGGCTCACCCGCGTAGTCAACTGGGGATGATTTCCCTGTCCGTTCGACTAACCTGCTCGACGCCAAGCTTGTTCGTCAGGTGCCGCATGGCCTGGGGGGTGCGTGCTGTGTCTTGATACGTTTGCTGACCATCTGCCCCGGTCTCGACCGCCTGCAATCATCATCATCACCCATGGTGAGAGCCAGTCAAGACTCGTGGATACAAGTGGAACTCACGGGGGGTGAAGGTTTCGGTTCTAACATGCGAATACAAAAACAGCCCCCGCCAACTCACGCAAAGTGCCACTGCGCCCAGATCGAGACTGTCAGCCACTTCGAACTCGTCATCCTCCTCGTCATCGTCGTCTTCGCTCTCGTCTTCTGGGAGACCAGACGCTGCAGCGATATCCTGGTCCGTGCCGCCGTCTGTACCCAAAGTGGGCTCACTTCCCACGTCCCAGCTGGCAACACTCATGTTCCCCGCGTTGTCCGGGATAGTAGCCATACTAGTTGTGAAGCCACGCTCCCTCCCACGCTCGGCAAGTTGTCGACGGGGCGTCAGTGAAGCCTCGCTTCGCGAAGGGCTACACTCTGACCACTGACTCATGTCGTCTACGCCTCCGTGCCCAAGCTCTGACAGCTCATCCACAGCTTCGTCATGCCCATCGTAGTCGTGCTCAGTGTCTCCTTCTTCCAGAACGCTTCCTTCCTCATCGTCAGGCCGAGCCTTCTCGTTCCACCTGTACACGGGCAGGGACGTTGAGAGGGATATTCGAGACAATTAGACAACAACTTCGACCGTTTGCAAACCCAAGGCCCTGCTGTGCAGTGCGAATGCAAACCTTTAGCGCCTTGAACCTTGCGCCAACACTGGGGAGATACCTTCACAGGCTGACCGATAGCTGCACGTCTTACCGTACGGTGTCTTCCGGGTTGACGGAATCGTCCAGGATCACTACCGCTTCGCTGGCGGGCGTCATGGGAGGCGTTGCCTTGTCTTGAGCTTCGAGTTTGTTCATAAGGCGGGACATCTCTCGCTTTTTGAACTCTTCTTGCTTCCCCTTGAGCTTTTTCAGAGTCTGGTAGTTGAAGCGACGGCCAGAAGAAACAGCAGGGGCAATGGATGTGATGTAAGCACGCGGCTAGCGTCCCCCGCAGCAAACAATTTGCGGCCTCGCAATCAAGTAAATGCATCGTGGGTACATGACCAGACGACGATGAAGAGGATAGAAGCAGTCGTGGCGTGCGTACTCGAAGTTCGTCCCACCCACTGGGCCATTGACCACACACCCCAAGCCACCGCACGGGACTGTAGTTTCCTCGTAGTTCTAATCACGTTCTTCCAAGTTGGGCATTACCGCGCGACACATGTGGACTGAGAGCTTCCTCTTTCGCCTTCGTCTTTGTACCCAACCGCTATTTTCGCTTCAGAGGGCGTCTAAAACTAAATATGTCTGGTAAAAACGCGACGTCAAGCATACTGTAAGCATGTCAAAGGGCGAACGTCGCCACTTTCCTGCTACGCCTTAGCCGTGCCTACACCCCGTCGTGTATAAAGAAGGCGCGACCAAGCCACCATCCTATGCGGTACGTCTTGGGTGGGGGCGTTGAACCGCGACACCAAACTCCAATGCTATCGAAAGTTTGACAACATGATATGCATGTGTATGTAGACCTACCTGCATGACCTCTCGCGCGTTTCTCTCGGCATCGACGATGGGAGACTGCTCGAGAAACTCCACCACAGATGCCCACCACTGCACCAACATAGCCAAGGTAACAAATATACAGGGCGGGACGTCTCAATGAATACAGAGCAAATTCAAGCATGCGGCTGGGATATATCTCGTGTTGGTAGATGGACCCATCAATGCTGGCTTCGCTTGTCATTCTTGTTAGTTTTCCATACGAAAACGTTGCAGTCGGGTTAGATAAGCAAATAGACAGGGCGGGACGTCTCAATGATTACAGAGCAAATTCAAGCATGCGGCTGGGATACATCTCGTGTAGGTAGATGGACCCATCAATGCTGGCTTCGCTTGTCATTCTTGTTAGTTTTCCATACGAAAACGTTGCAGTCGGGTTAGATAAGCTCATACAGAAGACTATGAGTGCGGGCGCATGAAATGGAAGCACGATACACGTATCAAATGGAAGCTCGATACAAGTATCAGACAGCGCTCTGCCGTACACGCCGCAATGCCTACATACTTCTGCACACCCACGCGTTGTTGCTTTGGGATTGAGGGTGAACCATGCATTGCCTGCAAATGAAAAGGCTACAATCAGAAACGGGCGGGTGGTTTGGACGCAGTAGTCAAGCCAGGAGATTGGAAGGAGTTCAGCGAGAAATGAAAAACAGGCACCCAGCAACCACACCAAATAAATGGTGTCTGAGCGATACCTGTACCAGGAAACAATCTGGCCACGCTTGATCTAACAATACGTAGTGAGAGTAACGAGTAGGGACATAGAGGAAGAAGCGCATGCCCGATACCATGGGCTCTTGGATTATGAGTTGAACGAACCAGCATACAACCATTAGTGTACCTCATCGAGGAACTGTGTGAAGGCATTGCTCCCTGGCTGGAGCTTCGCAGAGGCGTTGACGGTCCGCCGAATGTCCTTTAGCATTTTCATTATTGAATCTGCGTAGAATGGAATCTTGGAGATCTCGTCCCGGTGCCTGTCAAAGCAACGCGTAGTGTTTGTTGGGTTCAATTCAAAGGTGTGCAATCAAACGTCTTGCATTCAGTTGTGGCCCCCACACACATACCGTGACGTTGGAGTTTGACCGCCACAGGTGGCCTCCAGGAGGCTACGCATAAATAGGGCTAAGTTGACAGCAGTTGCAAAAGTGTCCGTTATTCTCCAAAAGAGCAACAAGAGCCGTTCCCACCGTCATTAGCGACTGCAAGTACAGCGATCTCAACTTGGGCCGTGCTAACCGATCCAACACATGTATATACCGAGCGCGACCTACATGAAGAGACGGCCGCACTTGTGGTCGAGACAAGGATGGATAAACATGATGTATAAACATTTAGAACATCTAGTCACGCCAGCAGAGCCGACGTTGGACACGATTTGTGTGATATTTTGCAGGGGGCTGAAAAAGACATACAGGTGCATCCAGCGAGACCGCGTATCCAGGGAGACCGCCTAAGGAAAACCCACAAATTCCCCACAACTGCAGTAGTGGTTGAATACCACAGCATAGAGAAACTGCGCTGTGCTTCACCGACACCCACACCCACACATTCGCCACCGCCGAGACGCAGCCTTATCTACGGGACAGGGATCTAGACATCACTTTTCGTAATCCTGTATCCCAGTTCTGCAGTGGTAACTGTATAGTAATTGCCGTTACCTGATACCCGTCAGCTACACGGAGCCAGACCCCAAACCCCGTCATCGCGCAAGGCTACTTTGGCATGTGTTCCCCTCTTGTCTCCTCTCTCAAACACTTCTACAAGACAAGCTACAGATAGATGCCTTGGCTTCGGTCGTGTTGAATGGCCGTCATGTGATGTAGGTCGCCTTGCTCAGATCACCTCACGTAGAGGGATACTCTTGCAATCGAAGCTGGTTCATTCCCACGCTGAAAAAGGGGGAGGCGCGGTGATCCTGTACCCATGAACGTTAGTTGAACACGATAGCGTTTAGATGCGACACCCCCCCGCTGTGCTTCCATTTGCTTTATCAACATCGCCATCCTACGTAGTCGAAGCTGTCTCCTATACAGCCAGAATGGCAATCGTACCTGCGGTACTGGTCTATCAGGCCATCCGTGCTCTCGCTCTCTCCAGGTATGGCTCCATTATCATTGGCCATCACGTTCTGCGGGGAAATGGTGTTGGATGTTGGATTCGGAAAGACGGACGGCGTTCGTGAAAATGCCTCATGGAATTGAGGTGAAGGCTGGCTTGACGAGCACTCAGTACTCGATTTCCCAAAGACAGCCCGAAACAACGTGGAAAAAAACTCAAGGCTTTGTTCACCAAACGGGAAAGCTCCCTTTGCCTTTGCATATTTTGTCTTTTACTCTGTTGTAAGGCCGAAAACAAGGCGGCTGGATCATTATATTGGTGAATTCGGATAGGGAGCATGATTTTGGCGTCACTGGAGAAGCGTGTTCGTGGCGTTTTGTGTGTGCCCTTAAGTCTTGAAAAGTACAATACTTGTACAGCAGTAAGACCGTACAGCAGTCAAAAAAAGAAACATGGCTTCTTGTCTTGAGTTGACGGGCAGGAGACTCCATCGAGGGAATTGGGGTACGAGGATCCAAGACACCCATGCTACAAGTACTCCGCTGGCTTGTGTACATGGTGCACCCACCTTGTAGAACTGGATCGCGTGTAGAGCGATGGTCTTTTTCTCGCTGCACTCGAATTTGAGGGCCCTCGCGCTCATCTCGCTAATTGCGTTGATGACATTTTTTTTCGTTCTTCGCCATTCTCTTCGCTTCTCGTCGAAGTCCTGTTGTCCGGAGATGGATCGAACACAGCAGTAGACAAGACCGCGCGGTGACTTTCATAGATGTAATGTTTTCTTTCGTAAGCATATTTATGCATACAGCAGTACAGCAGCAGTAATCTACTGCGACTGGTACTACGGATGTTCTCTCGAGGATTCGGGGTACACTGCTGTACCACAGGGTACTGGGGCACCGGCGCGACGCGTGCGTAGATCCGCGGGGAAATTGATGTCTGCTTTCCCTGCTTCGGTTACTGAAATACATCGGCTAAGCCTTCACCGCGTCGGCCAAGAAACGTCAGCTACACTCTGCTGTGCATATGTGCATATGCTTACATACGCGTATCTACAGGTAACTTCGACGACCCCCTGGCGATGCCATGCAAGGCGAGGTTCTGTGGATTTGTGGAAGACATCCATCCGTTTGGCCTACGCAAGGTGATACAAGCAAAGCTTCTACGGAGGTACTCTCTTGCCTGTTTGAGCACTCTCGTGCAGCTGACCCGACGGTTGAGCTCCGATTCTTCCTTCGTGCAGAGAATCTCCAGGTACGCGGTGCAGTCAGCCTCAAAACCGCTCTCCGAGTTGATGCCTCTCACCAGTCCGTCGACCTCACGCATGTACCGCACGAGCGACCGAACCTGCTTGAGCTTGAAATCCTGAGGCAGGGCGCTATCTTCGATCTCTGCTATGCACTGCTGCATGGTTCCTCTCGTTCCTCCCACGCGCATCATGGCTAGCCTCCCACACGGCCCCCTGTGGGTGCGTGGTCTTGTGTGTGCAGTGTGCAGATGAAGTGGCCGTTGGAAAATACGGAGTAGCACGTTGCGTTGCTTCAGCCACGGAGCCCCCTCACATACCCCTCACGCCTCAGCCGTGTGCCCCCGCCTAGGTTAACATGACAACATTGCGTATACATGTAGTGCTCTGAAGCTAGACCCCAGCTTTACTAGCATGCATATCAGGATTCCTTATGCACGGGCAGGTGAAGTGGTACAGTGTGAGATTGGTAGCTTGCCTAGCAATCCAGAGGCCAGTCGTGTATTTTGAACTTGAAGTAGAATACAGACTAGGAGTCATATAATCTGCGCATGTACAAGTAGATATCACAGCGCAAGTGACTTGCTGTTCTCTTTGCTTTGAAATACAATTTGGAATGTTCACCACCGCCAGATGAACACTACTACACTACTGTTTGTATTATTGAAGTAATTTTTTGTGGGATACGTCCGGCTGGTTTTCCTGCCATGGCCTCCATCATCATCAGTGCGGAACATTCGTATCTCTGTATCTGTTCAGCCGTCTCCATCCTGCCCTTCTCTTCAGCTGTACTCGTACCTTCTATCTTTCGAAGATCCCCCCCCCGCCCCCATGTCCCATTCCCCCCCTGCTCGGCTGTCCTTTTTGATGCAAAGAAATTCACACCACACAACACAGAGTCAATGAATGGATATCGATACGTTCCTATCGTAATACGTCACGTATTGGTGGCCGTAATAAGTATCAAAGCAGCATTGCCATGGAAATGCTCAAATTGTGAATCCCTTCTGACCTACTTCTACGTCTGCGTAGTACCTCATATTCCGCAAGGCGCCAAACTAAAGCCCTTGTGGAATCAAGACATCAAGAGGAAGACATGACAAACACTGTCAAGCATCGAACGCCCTGCGCTAAATATGACAAACGGACTGCTTTAGTACCCATACTTCAAACACCACGCGTGCAGCCTGCCATATTCCCACCAGAGAGCCGGTTCGATGACGCCAACATGATGCCCATGCTGTTGGAGTGCTGGGTGTCTAAGGCCCTTGTAATACGTTTTGGAAGGACATGCCATCGTATATCGTAGCAAGCAGCAGATCCACAAACTCTCACTCGAACGATGTGAATACACCTTTTGTCAATGCCACCTACAGCAGTACAAGTTTATTTTATACCCTTTACTGCAGGTGCATCTTCGTGTCTCCTTATCGTACTTTACAGCGTTCGAAGAAGAAAGCCAACAATTCGATGGCATCAACTGCCCGGCCTAAGAACGTGTGCTTAACCATGCACCAACCCTGGGCGTCGCTACTGGTTGCCGGTATAAAGCGCGTCGAGGGACGAAGCTGGCCAACCGAGCACAGAGGAATCCTGTGGGTTCATGCAGCAGCGAAGGAGCCAAACCCTGCGGAGGTCAGCATGGTAGAAGGCGTATAGGCTCGCCAAATAACGGATACATGCGGGATACTTCTTTACGAACTAAGAATACGGGGTCAACACTCTCGAAATGGCTCTCCCTGCTGGCGCTTGTTTTTTGCCTATTTCATCTGAATCGTATTCGTTTGCACACCCTACTCTGCATGTACGGTGTACGCGGAATATATGAACTCGAAATCTACAATACTGTCATTCTTTCCCCCCAAACGTTATTGATGTTAATAAAAAGTGTAGGTTCGCGCGGTGGAGGACCAATATCGGTCAATCTATGCTGCTGACGGTATCTCAGACAAGCTGTGTCTACCGACATCATATCCAACTTCTTGCCTCCTCGGTTGCGTGGACATCGTGGGCTGCCTGCCTCCGGTATGTATGTTTGTGCGTTTGTGTGTGCCCATATTTTTACGTTCCACGTAAGGGCGCGCTCTCTGAGGGATTTCTTATGCCTCTCCGGTGCGGTGGGTTCTTCGAAGGAAGCCAGTCGTTTCGTTTGAATACACCCACCTGTTTTGACCCATATATTGCCGGTTTTGTGTGTCGGTGGCCGGTGCATGGCAGGCGGAATTCCAAGCAGCAGAGGACATGCCCTTGGGTCCAAAGCTTGAGAGTCAGTCAGAATTTGTTTTTCTCTGTCAAGGTAAGGCGCATGTTGTGCTCGACAACGATAAATCGCAACCAATACTACTGGTGTCGGCGTTCCCTAGTGTTGCTGCTCTTACTGAGAAAAGAGGTTGTGGCTGCAAGTAAACGTTGGCGTACACCTTGATGCACAAGACAGGATATCTAGATATCACCGCAGCAAGGCAGCCTGAGATGATGTGCTCTCCTGCTGTGGTCCCTCACGTACCCCTGTGCCTCTCAGATCCAAGGCAGCTTGTTCTACCATTCAGCTTATCGGGACAACACAAATTGTGGAAGTTGGACAAGCCCACCAGGGAGGCGGCCGAAGCGGGGTTGGGAGCCATTGTTCACGGAGTCTCTCCAGCCGTCTTCCGTTCTTGCTAGAAGATGGCTGTAGCGCAGTGGTCGCGATTGCTTTGTTCCGTCGAGTAGCTTGCGTCTTGTTCGACCGTCCCGAACACTTCGGATCATTTACCTGCGCTGAAACGCGAAAAAGGCGCCCCTTGTTTGTTCTTTGAGGGCGGCTTAAGCTGTTGTTGCTGCGATTCTTACGCGGAGAGTTGCGGCTGTGTGTTTCCCCTACTACTATATTTGCTGCCCTCGCTGACCTTCGCCTTGGAATTTCGATCCTGAGTAGGTTTGGTCTGATCCCTGGACGGGAGTCAACTTCCTTCTCGTCGTCTCGCAGCTCAGATATAGTTGGGGCCATCCGTGTTGCCTGACCGTCCACATCCTGAATTTTTGGCGTAAAGGGCTGTCTGCCTGGTTCACGATGAACCCGACAGAGAGGACGGGCGTTTTGAAAGGTGTGTAAGGTGCAGTGTGCAGTGTACTACAGGATGTGCGCGGTTGAATCGTAGAGCCCGGCCGAACCTCCAGGACGTTAGGATGGGGTTGACCTGTGTGGGCGAGACGCGAAAGCGACGATGCCATGCTTTGTAGGGATGCGAAGATAACCTCTGCAGTTGTTTTTGCGGCTCCTATGCATACCGTAATGTACAAGTACCTTGTGTGTGGCCAAGGTCCTGACTTAAGGCGATCGTCTTTACGATATTTCGGGGGGGGTGTGGGCTACCCCATCCGGCGTGCCTCTGTGTTAGTTTGCTTCATGTGTCTCTTGATTTGCACGATATTTCTTCGCGTCAGATTGCGACAACGGACGGTAGTTGGTTTGTTTGCCTTCGACACTACGGAAGAGAACATCCTGGATAATTCAGAACGATCGTGGAAGTGACCACGACCACCACCACCACCACCACAATAACAGCAGCAGAAACCGTTGCCCCCAATCATTCAGGGTCGGCAGGGGACATATGCTTTGCTTCATGAGCGAGATGAGCAAGAAAAGCGAAGAACGACATGCTCCGTTGTGAGAGGTGGCCACATAGCACATGAGCAAAGCAGAGATGTACTTGTTTCAGTCCAAAGGACGTGCTCGTTGGCTCACAGTTCCACAAGAGGCCAACTCGCACTCGATATGGAAATAATGCGGAAATGCATCAAAATGGAATCTATTCCAATGAGTTGATTCTGGAACACACATGAAACGGCGCCGGAAACATGGAAACAACCCCAGCTGACATACAGAAAAATGTGAACAATCTGAAAGCGTTCAGGTCCATGCAACAATGAACAAACCAAACCCGATAGCTTTGAGGGGGCAACTTACATAGACTACTCGCTTGCGCGTGGGCAAAACGAGACAGAAGCAGGAGAGAAATCAATCGTGACAAGGGATTCACTCAACCCACCGACTTCGAAGGCTTGCAATGAGCTTGTCCTACACAGCATATGCGCTCGCAAAGAGGGTTGTGGATGAACCACAATAATCGTGCCATATGTAAGGCTGTAAAGCACCTATCATGCCTTCGTTTAACGCTACTTGCCGTCTACACCATATGTCTACCTGCGGCATACTTGCAGAATATTCTCTCTTTGGCTCGATCAACATGCAACGGCATACACTCCCACTCGGACCGTCGGTCTGAAGGAGCCGCTAGAGGCCGACCGGTTCCGAAAGCGATTCAAGAAAAATAAAATAAAATAAATCAACGGGCTAACTAACACGACCACACGTTTTCAGGCTTTTCGCAGAGACGAGCCCAAGGGTATCGTCATTGAGGCTTTCGCAGAGAGGGGCGAGCCCAGGATAGACAGATATATATATGTATACTGCTGTACCCGTACCCGATAAATCTGTGAGTTCTGTCACAATTGTGAAAACCCTACGCCAACACTTGGTGAGTATTGTAACACTTCCGAAACACTACCTGACACTTCTGTGAGTTGTGTAAGATTTCCAAACCCTGCCTGGATTAGCTGTGAATCCTGTTAACCAGGCGAAGCAAGACCCGAGGTAAGGGTTCAACAAAACAAAATAAGATATCACACCGGGAAAACAGGGTAAAATACCCGGAAAATGAGGGTTAGCACCAGGATACTATACTTTGTAAAAAAAAATGAGGTCTGGGTACGGGTACGGGTACGGGTACGGTATACACTTGTGAACACACCCGAATCTTTTCTGATAATTCCGTGCGGCATACCCGATTTTTTCTGTATAAGTCTACGGCCGCTTCTGAAACCCTACCCGGAACACACAAGCCCTACAGTATGCACCCTTTGCAAAAGTCCAACGGTAACATAAAAGGTAGCTACAACTTTAGTCGACCGACCGGCCGAAAAGCCCAACATAGTATCCATACTGCCTGACTTCTGCCTGATTTTAACCCGGCGTTGTTGCTCCAGGCCGTGTTGGCTCAAGGCTGTGTTGCAATCGATGCAGTGAGCTTTCGCACCAGCCAGCGTTTGGGTGGACATGGTTGAACGTCACCTTCGCCAGCTGTCACCTTCCTTGCCCGGCGCCGCGTGTATCACTTGTAGTATCTGCAATAGAGGCAGGCATTTGGAAAAGGTTAACCGCTGTAACGTAGATGACGAGTGAAAATTTATCGTGACGTATACAAGCGCGAAGGCGGCAGATGCAATACCACGAACGCAGTTCCTGTCAAACGATTTGAAATTTCGGACAGCTTCATTTAGTTCAGACACATGCGTCGCAATCTTTCACCCTGCCCGAATTCGTGTGGTCTCTACTGTAGCCGAGTAGTCCATTCTCGGATCGCTGGAACGTGTCACGGAAACAAACCTACTCCTGTAGAAGAAAGTACCCAAAAATGTCTCGGGTGCCCATTTCCTCAATATTCGCTGCCACCAACCTTGGCGCAGGGCGTGTGCCCCATGGCTGCTCGTTGTGTTTTCCCGCACACGCACCAAACGTGCCGGCAGTATGAGTTGGTAGCATATTGATGTATGCGCGCGGTTGAACAGAAGAACGATCGGGAGGCGGGGGAAGGATGAGATACTAGCAACAATACGTTGATAACGTGGGGTATGGCAGGAAATACTGTGAGCTGTGAGGCGGGGACACGTAGACGTGAGACGCCTCGGGCTGCTTCACCTGTCGCACCTAGACACAGCCACATGTTCGTTTCTCGTCCAACTTGATCATTGAATCATAGAGCTCAGTTTGCGCCTTCCCGAGAACAGTGTTTCTTAGGACCACAAAGTAAGGCAATCCTAAGAGATGGTGCTTACAAACGGAACTTAACCTCGGTCATGTACAACGATAGCAGCAACTGGTGGATTCGGTTCTTTCCTGGGATTGAACAATTTTTGCAATTCTGCGAGTGCAAAGTACGAGGGACCGCTGAACCTCGCGTTCAAAAACTCGAAGGCAAGCGCCGTACGGGGAAGGTGGAAAACCAACACGAGAAAGTCCCTGCGGTACAATACCTTCCTCCTGTGTGAACTCGGATGATTACTCAAATTCGTATACAAGTATACACCGAAAGGTGCAAAATGACGCCAGAAAAGACGGCACGATAATACACACGGCACTGTGATGGGAAGTAAAAAATAAGCGACGCACCTCGAATACTGGGATCGGAGCTGGGGCGCTCGGATCAGCCGGGTCTGCATTTTCGGTTGGCCTTGCCCCGTTCGTTGTCGCCCCTCTTTTTCTTCTCTTCAGCAACAGTGCTCCGATAATAACGATCGCGGCCACCCCCACTCCGGAAACTACACTCCCGACAACAATAGCCATGGTCCTGCCAGTGCTGCCATCTGAACCTTCGCTATCGAGCGATTCAACCGACGTAGCGATCTCGCATGATCCCGTACATGTTAGCGCCTCAAAATTGAAACTGATTGCTGGAGTGTAGCTCCCTTCCCCATCCAAGTCACCTGTCAAGGTTTGAAACACGTGTCAAACTTGGTGCTTAACGTTCGCCGGAGACATTTCCACGTTGGCGAGACACGTCTAAACGCAAGGGCAAACCACGGTTTACGCTGGGCGGCAACTGATCGACTTGCCTGTGCGAAAGAGAATGCAAGAACAACCGAACGACAGTCTGTAGTGTGGGGCGCACAGCATGTGCATGCCGTACAGTCCTCCGAGCTTCAAAACATCAGCATGTCGTGTCTCTACTTCGAGAGGAAAAGAAGAGCCATGGAACGGCGTAAATTCGGCACCACTAACGAGATCGCCCCTCACGCGCATGCAAAAGCAAAACTAGCCTCGAACAAACCAACAAACCGATGGCGTATCTGAGCCTTGGGGGGGCGTAACAATCATCACAAAGACGGAAGTCGAAAGACATAAAATGTACTTGACAGATATAACAGGATAACTAATTAACTCACAATACCAGGAGGTCACAGGTATCTCAGTGGGGTCTTCCACATCATTGCTGCCGATGCATTTGATTTCGTCGGGAAGGCCGAAACCGGCCACGAGTACGACCCAGTTGCCTTGTTTATTGGAGCCCTGCGCCTCCTGCGGATACAAGCCGAATCAGAACGGTGGAGGAGGTCACGGCAGTCCTGTACAATGATCGGAACGCATCTACATAGTACCAAAAGGGAAGGAAGGCGTTAGACATAATGGATAAAAAGCCACCATGCACGCATGGCGTGTTCGTGCGAAAAACAATCGCGAACTTTCGACTATTCGCCACGAGTTGTCGTCGGTCCCAGATCAAACATCATTCTGCCAAAAGTCAGGAAGAGTTGAAACTGCCTGGCTTTGAGGAAACTAACGAATACGTCCCTGCGAGAGACATTGCCGACACGACATCTGAAGGATGTGAGTGCTGGGGAGCATCGCGCTGTATAGTACTGTATAGCAGCCAGCGGATTCGCTATTCAGACCCGTCGACCGAGCAGCGTTTGCAAGAAGCTAGGGGGGTTGTCACTCTCTACTACGTAAAGATGGCAGGGACACCAACCACACCTGCCATTCAATGACGGCCGTCTCGTCGAGTTTAACCCATCTTCCCCTAGCATTGGAACTCGTCCCGCGGGCATAGCAGCCGCTCATGTCTTGCATTTCATTCGAAGCAAGCGTGAGGTTACATGGCGCAACGGTTCCACCAACAATAGGCGCCGGTGTCATCTGCCGTGCAGCAGACAAACGTCGAAAGGATATAGCTGATGTGAGTCCTAGTCTTTCCATGGCAAGTCATGCGAACCTCCGAGTAGCCCCGTGCTACACGAGACACGAGGGTCAAGGTGTGCGTTTTCCTGCAACCTACATTGTACTGTGCTACAAGAAATACAGAGAGCAGGATGGCGACAACAGGCAAACCAGTTTCACCGCCATGGAACGCAATGGCTCTCTTACCCAAACGTTGCACCCTAGTCAGCACAGTTTGCTCGTTACGAGAAGATGCATTAGTTCATTACCACATTACCAGTTAGCTGGTCTCACTTGGTTCGAATCTGCGCCTCCTGAGATGGGAACTGGCGTTGGATCCACTGCAATAATTACAGCTGGATTCGGCGTGGGTACATAGCCGTCAGCGGCAGCAGGAGCAGGAGTTTGGGGTACGACACCAATTGTTGGTTCTGGGGTCGTCGGTGCTGGCGTCGGTGCTGGCGGCATCGGTGCTGGCGTTGAGATGGTTGTAGGCATACCGGCGCACCCACAGGTGACAGCTAAGTCGCCGCTTTCGGGAACTGAAGTGACTCCATCGCCATCAGTGTCACCTTCGGTGCATGGAAGCGATACAGCGGGAATGAAAAAGAGAGCAGGAGAGCGATCGGGTTCGAGGAATAGCTCGAGCTACGTTGATTGTAGTTTCAGACAAGCGACAGCACTTCCTAAAAATGTACTTGAGCGTGTTCACGTATTCGAGGCGAGTTTCCACCCAAGTCGCACCAACACTTCGTAATATACCCGAGCAAAACTGCTGCGTACACATGGTGGTCTACCAGGTCTCGAGTAGACTAGTCTACTCTAATTTGATGCCAAATTTTCTGAAAGGTATTGATTCGAACTTGAGAACGCGTCTCGCCACACGATTACCAGCGAGTGACTGGATTAGGATGCCTCGATCAAGTACACGTACATGTCCATTGTATCTCCTGCGCCGGGTCTTCCGTTTCCCAGAACGTCGACGTCCCTGTGCACACCAGGTTGACTACTTCCAGCCCAGAGTTGTAGCCATCAGACCAAGTATTTTGGGGGAGAGCAGTCACCGTACCAATAACCCAAACCGGATCGACGAGTGGGCCATTTTGCTGTTTTGGAATTGCGGAGAGAGAAGCGAAAGAAAAGGCAAAAACGCAAGCGTGTGAGTGATCACGAAGCTCTTGGAAGACATGGGCCAATGACTCCAGAGAAAGGTGTTGAAAAAGGCAACATATAAGATGAAACGAGCGACAGTAGACTACAGGAAGACATTCACCTGATTTTGATTGGTCGGTCCTGAAGGGAAGAGGCCTCTTCGAGACTCGCGAAAACACCTCGGAATCGGGGACTCAAGATTGTACGTACGTAGTGTTGCCTCAAATTGTCCAAGTACGGACCACTACAGTAAGTCAATATCTGGTTCTAGGCAGGGGGCACCACGGTAGACCACAGCAGTAGAGTGCTTGCCTTCCTTACCGAGGACGCTATATACATGGAGAAAATACTGCTGAAATACACATGAAAGACTCGATGCTGCTATAGGTTTCAAGATATCTATACGTAGTAGCCGCGCGGGTGAAAAATTGTAATGCATTCTTTGACTGCTCGATTATTTATATATATTTAGTACCACTTTTTTGTCTTCACGTCAAATCGCCTTTTTTTTTTGTCTTCACTGCAAATCAGCGCTCACAGCACCAGTGCCGTTTACTCCAACGCGTGGTCTCACAGAAGAGCCCCTCTCTACCCTCCCCTCCTGCGGTACTTTCCCTTCGGTTTATATTGCGAGAAGAGTTCAGCACTCTCTTACCTCTGTGTACACGTGTACACACGAACTAGCGCTTTCCAACCACTATTTAGGCCAGAAGCGGAAGCGAGAGAAAAACTCACTTCGCAAGAAAAGCTCGCTTACGCCGGGATTCGAACCCCTGGCCTGATCTCTGATTATGTTTCGAAGATACCAACTAGACCACCGGGGCGACCGGCTTAGGGTTGGTTGGGGTTAGGGTTAGGGTTTTACCTACAAGCAGATCTCAAGTGGTGGATGATGATCTCCATGGGGTTGCTACTGGCGGCACGCTCAAGACCGATATTGGCAGCCTCTCTGTGTATTGTATGCGAACGATAGCGGAGGAGAGCGGCGTGCAAGAGTACGGCTTCGAACTGCAACTGTAAGCAAGCAGTACATACCCTTGACGAAGATTGCCCACGGGGTGTCTTCGATGACGCAACACGCTGCCACCTTACAGCAGTAGTTGTGTTATGCACGCAACATCTCTCTACGATTGGCGATTGGAAATGGAGTAGCTCACCAGATCTGCCAATATGGCTTTCGTTCCAAACTCAGCCACATCCCGCCCTTCGATCGTCCAAACCTTCGTCTCGTACAGCCCTGCGTACGGACTCTCCTGGTAACATCCCGAGAAGGTAAACGCGGTTGTTTCGATGGTGAGAGCAGATTGAGTACACAGGGCACCAGCCGCCATCGGTGAGAGGAGAGCGACTAAAACTGGTGTCCATGCCTTCCTCATTTGCTCCATCCAGGAGAGTTGGTGGTTGGTGTGACGCCAGCCGCCGCCTTCAGCAACTCTGGCGCGGCAATTCCGTAGCGAGTGCGACGAGTGGGTGCAATTGGACGTGGAATTGACGAAGAAGTAGGTAGCGGGGGGCGCACCCAGAACAACAGCAGAGCAGTGAGACGAACAGCTGTGCCTATCTATTGATCTGTTGATCACCAAGAAGGAGAAGGGGGTCTGGAGCGCAGGATATGCAGATCATACCATGCAGACCACCACCCGTGGTATGAATAAACGAACACCCAACTATTTGCCATGGCATACGCTGAGATCTAACGTACCTCCAGGACGGGTGCGTGCACAGATAGATACCACCCGTTGAATGGTTCCGCCCACGACAGGACCTGCCGGACGCTATAGAGTGGCGAGTGGCGATTATCAAGCAGGCAAGAAGACCGCAGGAAGTCTCCGCGCGGGAGTCTTCTGCTCCCACCCTAATGGTGTGTGGCAACGCTCGTCATGTGACAACAAGTGACACGAGCAGGGATTGGATAGATTCGCCGCAAAGATACTCGAATTTATTTTTTTCTGAGAACAGCGTGCCTGAGATCATGACTCTGTCTCTCTGCCTCTCTGCCCCTGCGCCTCTGTCTTTTCCTCTCTTTGTGTGTGTGTATTCGTGCGTCTCTCTGTACTTTTGTCTTTCCCTCAACTCTGCCGGTGTTTGTTATGCATGTGTTTCCTCCGGTCTCTGGCCCAAGAAACACCGGCGGACGTACAAGGAGTGCCATGTTTTTTTCCGTTATTGGCGGTCTCTCGGGGTCTCGGGGTATCTTATTAGGAAACATACACAGAAAGACTACCCATTCGAGGTATCTACACAAGTCTTTTGGTTTTTTCCGGGATGTGGGGATGTTGCATCGTGGTTGCATCCCTGTCCGTAGACTGGGATATGTTCCTTTCAGTCCAGGAGAGCTGGTCTACATATCTAGTGTACTTCGTTTGTAGCAACCACGCCCCACTAGCAGACGAACTTTGGACCGTGCGTCTGCTGCTGTTCGACAGCAACACAGAAGAACCAGAGGGCACATCGCCGTTTCTTCATTTTATATTTTTCTTAATATGACAGAACGAAACCATCTCTATCATACAAGTAGAAAAGTTTCTTCATTTTATATAAAAAAAAAAAAATAAAGGCTTAATTCCGCCGCATTGCCGCTGTCGCACCAACCCACCGGCAGTGCCTCTGCGCCTGGGTGCCTCATGCACCCACAGTAGCTAACCCGCAGTCGCAGGTGTTTGAGGGGAGATTGTTCGGGTATGATGAGGCCAAGTGCGTTGATCTTGTACGTTGCATTAGGGGGTAGCCTCCCGCTAATAGGCTGTTCTCGCGGATTTGGGCGAAGACTGCTGATGCAAGGCCGCACGGCGGCGGACGAGTGGGAAGCGTCAACTAGGCAAGGGATTCTGGAGAGCGCGGCGATTGAGGCGGGGCGTGAGAGCCAAGAGTCCCACCCTTTAAGAACCCAAGACTGGACGCTTCAGGTAAGTACTTTCACTCAAGCAAGCGTGGTGCAAAAGGTGCTGATGAATGAAGTCTACAGGTTGCTTGCATACGATAGTCTTCATGGTTACGAAAGAAAACTGCCCTACACCCTAGACTACACCACTGCTGTAGCTACTGCTGCTGTAGTGCGCATTATTCGGCTACAGAGACACCCCCCCGCCTCTGTTTTAACCACCATTGTGTGTCTACAAGCGCGCTGTCTTTTTTTTTACACGTAGGACTATTCTGCGTGTTGGTCTATTGTATGCACACTCACAGTCCGACTGGTTGAGACTGTAACGTACGGGCACCAACCAAAGGGCTTAAATTTTGAAAGCCCGAGATTCAGTCACATAAGTCCTCGTGTGGGTCGAGTCGCAAATCTCATAGATCGGGTCGTTGTGTGAGCGCGTGTGAATTTTTCAACATCGACCGCGCTAACCGACTGACCAATGAAAAAACTTCAGTATAAGTGCGGCTGAAAACAAAAACACTTCTAAATGAATGCCATGACTGGGACGTCATAGGGGAGGCTAAGCTCTTCTCCGTTCATATTGAAGGCAGAAACGGTAGCAACAGAAGAAAATTGCACATGTCTACCAAGGCTGCCAACTTGCACTCGAGTTCGTTTTGGAGTGCTTTCACCATTATCCTCCTTGCTTTCACCACCATGACTCTCATCGCCATTACTATACGCTATTTTGCGACAATTCTTCTCTAGCCCTGCGTCTTTTGTTGTGAGTAAGGTCATCTGGCGCGAAGCTCTTGCTCTCTTCCACTCCATGCTTCCCTCCTCCATTCCTGTTTTGTTCGTTCCCTTGTCCTCCCGTTCCCTTTCCACCTCCTTCGTCGGTACCAAATGAATCCCCCTCATTCCACCATCATCGTCGTTGTCCGCACGACTATACAGTAGTCGCAACCTTTTGACTTTGGCGGAATTGGTCAATCCGTAACACATGGCGTTAACACGTCGCGAGTTCGTACTGACAGATAGCGAGCTATAATAGCTCTAAGGTGAACTGCCTCCGAATCCCGTTTGTGTGAGAAGTCTTGAGGCGAATAAAGGCAGACTCATCGTCAAAATCTCGCTTGCAGAATTCTTTCTGGGCAGGATGGGTGGCGGTAGCTACGATTGACCGATTTGTGTCTTTGCCAAGGCCACCATACATTGAAAAAGCAGCAGAGATCTATGTAGACGGGTTGAAAGTTCCCGCAGAGTGGTTTGCCGTATGGCTTGCTGCTCTATCTTCGAGAGCGGACCCTGGTGTTTGAATCGATTTTTCGATGCTTCCCACTTGCAGATGGGTTACGATGGTGACAGACATCTACGAGGACAGACTTGGTGCAGAGATCCTCCTCTTTATCTCTGCGCGTAATCCTGGGGGGGGGGGGGGTGTACTCATAGTCGTGCATGCCGTAGTCGTTTGACCATTGACCTCGCATCCCTACAAAGCCGGGACGGAGCACGCCGGGTTCTCACCGGACCAGGCTCTCACATCACCAAGCGCGAAGCGCCGTGAGGTATTCGGCGAGTCGCATGAAGGGTGAGCTGCATCCTGCTAAGGGTGTTCGGCATCTTGTGCTTACTTCCTTGCGTCCGGATGACAGCTACGTATGACTTAATTTATTTTCTGGTGCTTTCACTTCCAGAGACAGTTGTAAGCACTGTGTAACTGCCTCGAGGAAGCTTGACCATTTTAACACAACGTGGTGCGATCATCCCCCGTTGCGCGGAGTGAGGGTTCTCGACCCCGCACAACATGATCTACTCGACCACCATTATGGTTACCGCAAAAAAAAAAACCGAGGTAAAAAAAAAAAAACGGTAACCTGGTTGCCGAGTTCACGAAGTGAATTGGCTTGTTTTACAACGTCGTTGCCAAGCGACGAAAACCCAATCCCGATGGCAAACACCGAGTGGGGGGCTTGTTTTACAACGTCGTTGCCAAGCGACGAAAACCCAAACCCCGATGGCAAACACCGGGGGGGGCGGCTAGTTTTACAACGTCGTTGCCAAGCGACGAAAACCCAAACCCCGATGGCAAACAAGGCCGACGGGGGGGGGGGGGGGGAGTACCAAATCCATCTTGTAGAGCGCGTAATCCTGGGGGGAGTACCAAATCCATCTTGTAGAGCCTTTTCCCCCTACCAGTACCAGTGGTAACAGGGGAAGAATCCTCAGCTGCGATTGTCATGTGGCACTGGCGTAGTGTCTTGAGGAGTGCTCGAACCATGCTGTTACGGAGGGGGGTTGAGGCGGCGGTCTTCGTGCAGACGAGGGAGTTGGCTCGGCTCAAACGTTCCTTGCATGGTGACAATGCACCCGCACCGCAAAGTCATACTGTGTCGCAGTCAGTCGTGACTCCCTAGCACGACCGATTGAATACACGTCAGGCGGCATTGTTTGATCCGCTGACAGCGCTTGCGTTGTCAGCCACGACAAAACTCCCTTGCCTTTCGCTTTCTCCACGCAGATCAATGCCCTTTTGCCGGGCGTTTCCTTGCATGCGACCTTCTGCAAGTCTCGCTCGACCATACGACGCACTGCCGCATGAAAAGGTTTGGACAGGACGGCTTGCGCTCCGAAAACTTGATTATGCTGACCGAAAGAGTTGCGACCGCATGTGGTCGGCGGTGTTTGCCGTTTCCTCGTCAAGGTTGTCGCCTCCATTATCCCTCCCTACCTTCCCGGCCTCCATGAGATAAAGCTCATGTGAGCATTGGAATCAAATCTTCACATGTGGCCAGTTTTCTCCAAGACTGGCCAACAGCTTTTTAAGCTTGTCTTTGGTAATTATCTCCTCTAGCTTCTTCAGCGACTCAATCAGAGCTAACCCGTTGGTAGCAATGCAAGTCGGCGGAGACATTGCTCAACGGTGGATCCGGTCGATGCTTGGACTGAATTGGAGAATACGAGCGTTTGCCCTGCCACAAGAGCCGATTCTCGAATGAGAACATTGCTCGTAATTCCGAGTCCTCCTTCACGTATGGGCAAGTGCACCTGTGCCCGAGCCGTGCCTTTCAAGAAATCGACCACAGTCTTCTCCGGGTCTGCGCGTAACTTTCCTGCGGTTGGGATTCCCACGGTGTCTGCCATTTTTGCCGTGGACGATCTTGCTCATTGCCCATATCATCATGTTGTCATGTTCTCTTGCGGCAGTGTTGGTGATGGAAGGCGCATGCATTCGTTCTCAGCAGATGGAACAAACGTGGCACGCCAGAAAAACATAGCAGCTGATAACTGGCTGGAGGGTCGTCAAGTGTTGTAAAGCGGCGTCTCAACTCCGCAAGTTCACCGCGGGCGAAGTAGGAGACGAAATTCATCTGAAAATCCTGTGTCCGTGGGACTCCGACTATTACCATGCCACCTTCAGCAGCTGAGAGACCCGTTTTCGTCACTTCTCGCTGTTCGTCCTTCGTCAAGAGGAGAAACAAAATCCTTCTGGGAAAAGGACTTTCGACTTCGGGAGACTGAGCTCAATGCCTTTTTCCAAGAGGAGTTCTTGTATCCGTTTGGTTACAGTGGCGATGGCCTGAATATTCCTAGCCAAACCTGGTGGAAGATGCGCTTGGAGGTCGTCGACGTATCCAACCAGTTTGACTGCTGGCACTGAAGGCTTGTGATTGAACTCCTTCATTATGTCAAGAAGTCCTACAGAAACCGAACCCTCCTAGATTGCAGCGTTGTTGCACTCCGCGCTGTAGAAGAACAATCTCGATCGAACCATTTTCCATTTTGAACAGAAGTTTCGCTTTGGTTCTGGCGTAGATGTTCCGAAGTACTTCGACAACTGTGGTGTGTGACCACTGTTGGTAGGATAGACGATGGGCGCATGATGTTGTAAGGATTTTTCCATCAAACAAAAAAAAAAATGCTGCCTTGTTGATGGCTGAGGGCTGCTGTGGAAGCCACTATTGCTACTCCTCCTGGAACGCCACCTCCGAACTGGTTTGCTGCTTCAAGAATATACGCTAGCAATTTCTTCCTTGTACTGGCGGCAGAAACTGCCGCTGATGATGCGACGTAGGACTCCTCCAACTACATTCGGTCGTTTGTTCTCTCCCAATGCTGAGAGGCTGGCACTTGTGTGGAGGTTCCAGAAGAAATCCTGGAGCTCGTCGCCGTAGTAAAAAACTTTATAGCTGAAGTCAGACAAGGTTTGTAAGAAATAATCGTTCATGCCACCAGCTCGAAGATACGAACATCGTAGACCATCGGGCCCTGGAGCACTCTGTGAGTTAAGTTTGTAACCGTCTGTTTGATGAACTTAGTTTCAAACGGCTCGTGAGCTTCCTCGAAGGTGTTGGTCTTGTGTACTCCTTCAATATTTGTGCAGCTTTGATGCTGGAATCCCAAGCAGCAACAATGTCTTCAGGGTTTTAATGGGGGTGTAGGTTGCGGAGGTGTTCCAGCGTGGTGCTGCTGCGTGGTGAAGGTGCTGGGGAGATTAAGACGCTAGCAGCTTAAGTGAGGCCTCCTCTTGCAAGTCTCGTGGCTTGTCTCCGGCGATTATCTTCAGTTATCCCCATAATATTGATGTGGACGATTTTTCTCATAGAGCGTGAGCCAGGTGACGGGTTCATTCAGGTTACCGTTTGCGAAGCGGTTCAATCAGGATATACAGTTCATCCAGTCAATCCGTCCAAAGCTGGAGTGAGATTTTATGTGTGTGTGCTTGCTTAGTTGGCATCGAACGCGCCAACTGGCTTACTAGTGATGTATGTGTACATGTGTCAGTCATACAACGGCGTATGACAGCAGTCGATAGTCATGAGCGTTGTTCAGAGTAATGTCGTGGTTGTCGATGATGCTGTAAGGGTTTGGCTTTATCGTTGTCGTTGCCGACTTCCTCCCTCCTACTAATTTAGGCACATCCTCAATTACCATTTATGGCAAGGCAACCCCGTCCACACACCAGCGAGAACGTGCAGCGTGACGAGTGGTAGTTTTTACGGTCTGTTAGTGACTCTTCCAATCTACGCGATTTCACGCCCTCTGATTGGTCAGGCGTTGGCTCCTAGCCTTGACCCTCTCCAGCGCCCTCTCTCCGTTCTCGCCCAGTTCGCGGCCGCTAGGCCGTGCGTTGGCCGTGGTTGAGGGTTTGGGTTAGGGGTGCATTGGGTTAGGTTGGCCACGGTGTGTCAGCCTTCAACACCGGTTAGACCTAAAGAGTCACTAACAGACCGTTTAGAGACCTCAGCGTGATCCACAAACAGGTGCTTGAGGTTGTCCTCGGGATGCCCCAGAATCATCGACCCGCACCTCCCGCGGTGTCGAGAGAGGCGCAAGCTCCCGTCCTCCTCTCTCCACACGCCTCCCTCGCTTTCCACCTTTCATTCCTTCCTGGAACAAGTCCACCTGGCGCGGTCGGACCATGAGGCCTTGGTCTCTGCCGTTGAAGATCGGTGCTGCTTGCCGGCTCCTTGGTCGTTGTCCACACAGGTCCCTTGTCGCTGGTCTGTCGACGGGATTGCCTTGCAATAGATGGTACTTGAGGATGAGAGAGAACAAGATGTTGCGTCTCCGCCGACACCGCGGGAGGTGCGGGTAGTTGACTCCGAGCCACCCCGAGGACGACCTCCCCAAGCACCTGGTGCCGAAAGGCTTGTGGATCACGGGTTCACGCGGCGACCAAGGCGGCCAGTAGAGCGCACAAGAGAAACGCCGCTCCACCGTCGAGGCAGCTGCGGAGGAAGTCGGATGCCATGGTCCAATCTCTGGAATTGGCTTGAGGAGAAGACTCATGCACAGCCAAATAGTGTTCCTTGCGATACCTACGCACCCTTGCAGGGCTTGCAGGGGAGGTGCTCTCTTTCCGATTGCTCTTCACTCCGTGGGGCTCGTCCTTGCGGTATGTAGCTTCAGCATGTTCATCCGTGTGATTATTTGCGAACCTCTCTCCGCTACCGTTACTCTGAAGATGCGTTATAGCAGTGGGGGTCCTGGTGTAGCCGTTCCCTGTTTGGCGAAATTCCCTGTGTAGCGGTTACAAAATCTTGTTGCACCGCCGCACCCTTGTTTGGGGCTATGTATTGCCCTCAAACCGGTCGTGCCTGCAATAGGTTGTTGGAACTGTTTTCAGCGAGCAATACACGCGCGCTTGCACACACACAGCGATACAGCAACGGCACCGACAGCGGGCCGCACACACACGAGGAGGCGCACTATGTTCACAAGACAAACATGTTGTTCCTTGCAGCGCACGCCGCTAAACCAACGCGCCAGGCAGATGTCAGAGAAGCGGTGTTCGGTGAAGCATGATCGATACATTCGTAGTGGCGAAGTAGGGTGGCAAGGCAAAGTAGCAAAAAAGAAGTCACTGAAGCACGGAGTTGTTTGCCATTCCTTGTGTTGTCACGAATTTGCCCAAACGTGCCGTAGAGGTGCGTGCGATCTTCCGATCTTGGTGAGGGCCGTGCCTTATGAATATTTGTTGTCACTTTTGTTTCCATCACCCCACCTTCCTTTTTTCGTTTATTCGCGGACCGGATTCCTCATGCTGTGATATTATGCATAAGGACAGATTGTTGAACGCGCGAGAACAAAAAGAACGCACTCAAGACCCACTGTGTTAATGAACATTTTGGAGAACAAGCTTTGTGTTATTCTCTACACTGTATTGAAATACACATCATGCGCTCCTGGGTTGTCTCCCCTAGAGGTGTTACTTGTCTAAATACCTTCGTGTGCTATGACGACTGCAACGAGACACACGCATGACCTTACTAAACGAGTTTGCGACGCGGCTCGTGTTCCGTAAAATTTTATTATTGTCCCGGTCTAGCAAGCGGCAACAAAGTAACGTCACTATGCCTACATATGAACTGCGAACCTGGGACCCCCACTGTACTAAACCGGTGTGATAGTTTTTTGCAACGCGAAATGTTCTCACAAGAATGCGGTGTCTTATCCGCCCGAACGGTTTGGGTGGGATATGAACTCGTGTAATATACTCTCGCCCAAACCAATTACATCACGCGTCTGCATTGAGATACGTCGAGCGGGGTCAGAAGAAAAAGGTCTTCGAATCTTGTTCTTGACATATCCTTTTGAGTCAAAAAAGTCTGAGTGTGCGCGCCTGTGTCATCCCATTTACTTTGCTTTACGCCCATGTTTACACCTTCTCACGTGTCTGACGCGGTCGGTGCGAAGTCTGTGAATTTTGTCAGCGCCACCGTCTCTTGTAGTTAATTTTCTGCTTGCCGACATACCTTTGTTTGTCACTCCTACAAATTACCTGTTTAACCTCCTGACTGCTGTTATGTCCCTCTACTTTACTCCTACGTTTTCTTGAGCATTGAATGATGCTGTCCTGCGTTGTATGATACGAACCGCTGGTAAGCGTGATGCTTTTATGTTTTCCCCGTTCGTTGTTCCGAATTTGCAGATTCGTTCAAGCCCGTGGACCCGGCGAGAGCAGGAGGTGACATTCCATCGCAATGGCACCATGTCGAGCAATGACGGCAACAAGGGAGAGTGGTGGTTCGATGTCGGTGGACTCTATTGGGTACGTACGGTGCAGGTAGCAGAGACAGTAGATCCCGCAGATATACGTCGTGTTTGTATTCGTATGCCAGTGCAATAGGCGCTATGAGGGGCTTCATGGCGAAACACCTAATGACACCCAGCGCGTGTCACTCGCACTCACACAGCAACAGCGTCTTGTACTCGTGGCCGTCCATCGCATCCGCCAGACGCGCTGCGCCGTCTCTTGATTTGCGAACCGCCTTCTGGACGGATACCACGTCGTGCAACACGCCGAGAGCCTTTATCAGGCGGAATAACGGTACATCCCAAGAGAAACTCTCGTTCATAGCCGTCGGGATTTTTTCAAGAAACTAGGTGAAGAGGCCGAAGCCGGGGCAACATGAGAAAAGTTGTGAAGGGGGTAAGCGGAGGTGATGTGTTCCGTGGGCAAAGATATACTCCCTTGATACCAGCGGGACGGAGAGTCGTCGGTTCTTGGTAACGCATGCCGTCTAGGAGGCAATGACTACTGCTCATTTTCTTGTCCTCAAGTCCAGCAGTTAGTGCCTGACAATGTGGGTGTTGTTCCCGATGCATGTGCGAATTGATGTCATCGATGCAATGGGATCGTGAAGGGACCGCACCGTACCTTCTCATGGTGTCATTTTTGTTGTTACGTGAACACTCACAACCTTCCATGCGCAAACTGGCACCATGCTTCAAACTGCACCACCCTCTCCTCTCGTCGTTTGATCACTTTTGGCATTGACGCCCGCAACAACAGGACGTAAACACCACAATTCGAGCTGCTCCAACAGTGCTCCACCACAAGGCTGAGCTGCACTGGAATGTCTTCGGTTCGCAGCCTCGAATGTTCAGAGGCACCATCACCCGGGACCGCCTCCCCAATTCACCACTGCCACCGTGGCTGTTCCGACCTGTTGTCGGCTCATTTATTGGATCAGGTGTCGGTGATGACACCGCCGACACGTCGTACAGGCACCGACAAACAGGAACGAGCGAGCAAGCGGGTGCACCCCCCCCGAGAAGAACGGATCGCTACTAACGACTTCTTCATGGCCAGCAATTGCTGTCTAGAGACTACCATGGGTAGTCGGACACATTTGCAGTAGGGTTCCCATGGTTTGCAGCGAGTTTGTCGAGTGAGGTGGTCGTGTCTTTCTGGTCCGTCGTCATGTGTTACGGCTGGACGATGTGGCTAGAAATGGGTAGACTGGACAGAACCACCTAGCCTGGACAGAATCACCAAGTGTTTCTATCGCAGTGAGCGCGGACGCCGATGCCGCTTCTTACGTTAGATCATGCGCGGAATTGGGGTCGTTGTATCGGGGCTCTTACGCTGGAGCATGCACAATCGCTTAACCCCACCCAGTTTGAACTGAAGGCCTAAACAAGACCTATCGGACGGACACCCGTTTTGTAGGTGTGTTCGCTGTGGCACACGCGGGAAAGTAGGACACGACCCGTCACCCCACCTGGTTGTGTTCCGTCATAGGCAAGACACATCCAGGGTGTTGAACACTGACGGGGTGAAACAAGGCAATTGGCAGGAGTTACAGAAGCGCCCACACAAGCCAACATGATGCGCACGCGAGCACAATTGTTCCGTTCGTGCGGTCGGTGCACATTCACCTGTGATGTCGGTGCACCCACTGCTGCTGGCGTCGGTGCTCGACTCGCACAATTCGCACAATAAGGTGGAAGTTCGAATCTAGCCATGGTTGATTCCGAGAGCAACAAACTCTTCACGGGTTTAGTGACCAATTTGGTGGATAGTAAAACGTATGGTGGGTTTCAATACGCCAGGCTTGCAGAGAACCGGAAATGCCACTGCTGTCTGTCCTTGGGGCTATCTGTTGTGTATTTTCCAAACCGAACATAAATAAACAAACCGTCAGCGATCGTTCGTATGCAGTCTATTATAGTCTAGTCTATAGATCTATGCAGACAGCAGCTGTGAACCATCGAGCGTCACCAGGGGACACAATCAATAGCACATACGTCTGGAACCTGGATGAATTCACCCCTCTTTCGGCCGTTATTGTCGATGCCGCGTGACGACAGGAGCGGCACAGCTGGTCATATCTATGGATCTAAAATGGAGGGATGGCGTCGGTTACATGTTTACCCGAGTTACCACCGCCTTTCCAGCCGGAGTTCAGTGGTGGAAGCGTTTTTTCTTTTTTTTTTCTTAGAGTTTTTGTTCTGCGAAGCCCCTTTTTTCTGGCCAATAGAAGCTTCACACCTGATACAAGACGTCGTGTAAGTGTGTGATAGCAACAAGTGCATCGTGCTCCCCTCACCACAAGCTAGCTGCCCACAGGAATCCGTGCAACATCAAAAGGAGGCTTGCCTTTCGGGAGTAGGTAAGTGGCATTTGTGTCTCACTAGAAGAAAGCCGATTGATTCGGTGAATTTCGCCGTGCCCGTCCCTCTTTCGAAGCTAAACTTGTCAGAGAGACAAAGAACTTCGGGAGCGGCGTGTGGCGTGTGAGAAAACAGAGGGATGGGGAGAGAATTGCCCACGCAACATCCGGCGTGCTTGGATGAACCACGCGATATCAAGTTGGAAGCACCGCTTCCTGGCTGAGCCATCTAATTGGCGACGGCGGCGTTGCTCCCATTGTTCTAAGGAAGAACGTGAGCTCTCTCCAAGCAAAAAGCCACGCCGCCGTGTTTTGCGGCACTTCGACCCGCCGCATATCTAGCTTCGAATTGGCACGGACCCGGCTCAGGTCGGCAGGCTTTATATGCCGCCTTGATCCTGTCCGGGGGTATGGTCAGCACACGCCACCTGGTTTACAACTAGACCGGGCGTTATCGTGATTTGTTTTCTTACCGCCATCGAACAAGTATGCATAAGAAAAACGAAAACCAGCCCCGCGTGGAGGTCTTCCAGGGAAAAATGGAAGTGGTGATCTGCCCTGGCGCGCCAAGACAAGCGAAGGCATACACCACACGTCTCCTCCGTCAGCAGATGCACTCTCCTCTCTGCAGTCGTGGGCCAACGTAGAGGTGGAATACTTGTGGTTGAGCCGTTGGTCATGGCATTTGCGTCCCCACACTTGGCTGCTTTACAGACGGGGTCGTTTACCTCACCGTTCGACACACCACCCCAAATTATTGACCTGCTGCTGTGTACTTCCTGCTTCCCGCCACGTCTGCCCCTTCCTCCGCACACCTCCCACCAACACCGCAGGCGGAACCATGGGACTCGCATTCTCCCGACTGTGGGAGCGTATGTTCGGCAAGAAGGAGATGCGTATACTGATGGTACGAGAGAGGGAGAGGCAATAAGGGTGTTGGGTTGTGTGCAGCGGCAGCTCGCCACTGCTGCTGCTCTATAATAGTACCCTTTTTTTGTTCTTGATCACGCGCTCCATCTGCTGCCCCCATTCCACGATCAGAAACCACCGCTGATTTTGACTTCTACACTACTGTACTGCTTTTCGATGTGGATGTGGATTTCTCCACTCACAATAGCACCTCGGGCACAATACGGGGATGCGTCACTTAGTGGGGCCGCAGATGACACGCGTGTCTCGTCAGTCCTCTCCCCGAGGGAACACAGTACATCATCCGCTGTGTATAGTACAACGTTAGTACTTTTGATGTACCAGGAGAAGTGTTGTGCATAGTGTGCAGCACGTAAAATCTCATCCAACCTTTTCTGACCCCCGTTGACGTAGCCATCTCTTCCCAGGCCAGAGGGCAAGAAAGCAATAGAGCGAGAAGACCTTACATGTGCCTCTTGCCACGCGCGTGTCCGTTTCTCAATTATTTTGTGGGAATTGATAATCCACCGAATGAAGAGCTGATTATGCGCACGGTTTTTGATCGAAAGACCAGAATACGGCAACAGCGCGGAACACTCCTGCTTCAAGTTTTTTCTTTTTTCGTGTGAACATCGTGGAGATTCCTTCATTTTCGGCATAATGTTTCTCGGGAGAACCCCCCCCTCTTTAAAACCTCCCTTCACTGCAGATGGGATCTACTACTATCTACCCAGCGGGCAGGTTACAACCGGGCTTGTTGTCGACAGGCGGGGGTTGTTGAGTGTCGTTCTTACGTTTTTCGCCGCTGCTGTGGCGTAATAGTTCGCCCGCATACTTCCTCCGCAACACACGGCTGGTGCTGTTTTTTTGTTGCTTGACCGCGGTGCTCTCTGTCCCCTTGCGTGGCATGGAAGGTGGGTCTGGACGCGGCCGGTAAGACGACCATCCTGTACAAGCTCAAGCTCGGAGAGGTGGTGACAACTATCCCCACCATCGGGTTTAACGTGGAGACTGTAGAATACAAAAACATTAGCTTCACCGGTAAGCATTAGCATGCGTTTCCCAAGGGTTAGGGTTTCCATGGGTACGGTGTAATGTTGGCAGAGGGGATATATCCGCCCGTTCCCCAACAGGCACTTTTTGGACGAACGTACGAACGTGAACTTCCACAAAACGAAACCGAAAAAGATAAATTCGCAGTTGTATTTCTGTACATCAGTCACGTTGTACATGGGTTCGGAGGCACACGCCGCGTTCAACTGGAACATTTGTAAAAGTTGGACACAGCAATGTTGGTGGGACAGCAGAGCATCGACTCGAAATGTTCCGCTCTTTGAGGAGTGCACCGGCAGTCCTCTATCTAGCGGCTCTGGCGCGACTACTAGACTTTCCTTTTTGAGTTGGTGTCTTGAAGCCACACACACCTCAAGGCCATTTTAGATACGTGAAAGGGGAAACGGTGGCCAGAGCATTTTTTGTGTGCATACATGCACGACGCCGCACAAACACTCACCGTTGCTTTCGCCCGTTCGTCGACGACAGTTTGGGACGTCGGAGGGCAGGACAAGATCAGGCCGCTGTGGAGGCACTACTACCAGAACACGCAGGGGCTGATCTTTGTCGTGGACTCTAACGACAGAGACCGCGTCGATGCCGCACGGGACGAACTCCACCGCATGCTCAACGAGGACGAACTGCGCGAGTCCATCCTTCTCGTGTTCGCTAACAAGCAGGTGAGCATGCATGTCACAAGGGGTAGGCATGTGCATATGCCCACGTACAGCGCCATGCTCATAGTCGGCGCGCTTTGCTGAGTTGACGTGATTCCTGTCAACAAGCCGGTGTCAAGGGTATTTCTCCAAACAACGTCAGTGGTTTTCTTGCACAATCGTGTTTCTTGCCACACAACATGAGCAGGGAAGATCTCATGTGTCCGAATGAATGGGGGCGTTTCGGAAGTAGGTCTGGGTTTCGCCAAATGGGGTGTGGACTAGTTCGGGTGTCGTTGCGTGGACGTGCTAGTGAATATTCTAGCTCGAATCGGCACCACCCTTCCTATTCGCCTGTGTGTGCGGGGGGAAATGCGTAAACGCGGAGCACAAATCTGCCATGCTCTTAGTTTGGGATGCCAATCTGCCTGGGTACAGAACACTCCAGGATTCGCAAGCGAAACCAATTATGGGAAAAAGAGTATGTTGATACATATTTTTGTGTATTTTTAATGTATCCCCTTGAACGCGTGCAGGTGTGGTTGATGGATGGTTGCGTTGCGGCTCTACCCCCCCCCCCCCCCCCGGAATGACTACATCGATGCCGGATATCCACACAATATGGGGCGACCTAAGCCAAGAGGTTTCCGCAACGAAAAGGCGGTTGGACTACGTAGCCGTCCGTTGAAACACTTTTCAGCTCTGGCGTCTCGACATGGATTTGCGTTTGCTTGATACGGCTGCCTCCTCCCCCCCCCCCGCCTCACACACACGCCCTCTAGGACCTTCCCAACGCCATGTCAGCGGCAGAGATGACGGACAAGTTGGGCCTGCACGGCCTGCGCCACCGGCAATGGTATATCCAGGCATGCTGTGCCACAACGGGCGATGGTCTTTACGAGGGCCTCGACTGGCTCTCAGCCACCCTCTCCAAGAGGAAGTGAGCTGGCCAAAGGCTAATTTGTGGACGGAGATCCAACAGCCTCATTTGTGGCTTAAAGCTTGTACGGGCGTGTAGCAAGAGCGGTCCGGTACGTGTGAAGACGTTTCTGCTTGGTCACTGTCTCGCGCTGATGCTGACGTCCATTTATCAAGCTGTTCGTACCTGACCAGTAGACAAATTTCCGGGAGTCGTTTTGCGTCGAATTTTGGGGACGACGACAAAGTGACAAGACATGGCCGCCCGTCGTGTTTATGTGTGTAACCGTAGTGCTTTCACACGGGCCGTAGCTCTGCTGCAGTGACTTGAGTTGAGAAGGCCGTAGCATAGCATGGGTTGGCCGGCCTCTGTACGATTATCGGCAGATGCCACGCACAACCGTGCCGGTTTTTAATGACCGAGGCTGTTGGGCTCTTGAACAGGCGAAGAAAGGCCTAGACCAGAGCTTCCGGTGGAACGGAATTGTCTGTACGCTCGAGACGCACAAAGCCCCGCGTAGCTGCGTACCAGGCTGCAGAGATTTTGGATTGTTCTGAGACACCGTTGGCAGCCCCGCAAAGGGCTTTGTTTGAGAAGGGGTGGGGTGGGGGGGGGGGCACTTTTTTTCATGTTAAATATAGCCTGCGAAGGCGTGTACGTAGCCTTTGGCAAAGCACCTACGTCAAGTCTGATTCCTGTTGGCGCAGGAAGAACAACTAGGCATGCGTCATCAACTACAGCTCTTGCTTGAGAAAGACAGGGCAGGTATGCAAAGGCGTTCGGGGCCTTGTTGGAGTTTGTGCAACAATAAGTGGTAATTGATGTGCCTCAGCACTGCAGTCGTTACCCCAGGTCTGCTTTTCCATGTGTCTTCATGTGTCTTGTGCTCCGGGATTTTTGTGGCCTCCAACGAAGATGAGATGCGCACACCCTCAAAACGTCAACTGGCCTGACTTTAAAGGGACAGGCAATTCCTTGTACACTTGGATCGCGTGTTGACATCGTGGAAACGGCGTCCCCGACGCTCTTTTCAAGGTGAAAGAGCTTCGTATGTGGGCAACAGGATTTTGCCACGTTGGTACACGGTTCGATTCCATTGTAGGTAAAAGTTTTTTTCAAGTGTAAAGGGCATCATCGTGGTAACAACCAAGAGGGACGGCTGAACTCATCCTCGCGTTGCAAAAAGCGCAGAAGGAAAGGAGGAGAATCCCGTCGTGGGACACCCGGCTCGTGGGTCAAAGTACCGATTGGTGCACGTAGATTGGCGCTCAGGACAGATGGGAAGAACACAAGAAACCATTTCCAGCTACAAGGTAGGTAACTACCTCTGACTGAAGAACACCAATCCGAGGTCACCCAATGGATTCCTCTGCAATGCTAGCGAGCGCGCTCTAATTTCGACGTTATCGGCAAGCTCTCGACGAGACGGCTGCAATGCCGCCGTTTTTCGGCGCTGCCAGCATTCTGTCGTGGAGAAATCGAGCTTTGTGTTTCCGGTTACCACCGATCAAGAGCTCACACGGCGCTCCAAAAGAGTTCTACTTCAGTTGCAACACGATTGCGAGGTCGCAAACGCTTTTGCGACCCCAGACCTGTAGGCAAAGTGCTTTGACGGCAATACACACACGATCGCTTCCAAAGAACTAAAGCAAACACAACTGCGAGTCGCATATTTCTCTCCATTTGCCCTCATGGGATGCATCATTCTCTATCCCTCCGCCTCACGATTTCTCCTCGTCTTGAAGATATCTTTTGCCTGGAGAAACGAAAAAAAAGGGCCACAGGGACGACGGGGACGAGGAGGGCAACACCGGGGTGTAAGCTAAGGTATTACACATGCCCCATGCGTTTGCTCCCAAAACGTTTGCAGCGTCTGCTGCCCTCTCACCAACACCGCGCGTTTCGAAATTTCTAAGAGCAACCAACCGAATTTAAAGAGCTGGTGGAAACACGACAGCGCGCTGATACGCAAGTATCACTCAAAACAGGGTCAACCTTCCTCCTGAAAGAATCATTTCTCCATCGCGGAATTTCGATTTGAACCAAAAGTACAAAATACACAATAGAGCAGTTTCCGTTGAACGGGGGCGAAATCAACCGCTCTTTTCAACCGCCGCCCAGTCGAAGCAACTCGTGCCTTAGCACAACGAACTGCTTCGGCAGAAGTGCACATACGCTTTAGCAGGGCACAAGGAAAGCGAACGGTTAGGTCTGGAACGGTGTCTGAACATCGCCGAATTCACCTGCGCAAGGAACAAGTCGTCATCGATGTCGCCCTTGTACTTGTCACCCTCGAAACAACCCTCGAAAGCCTGCAGAAGCTCGCTATCCTTGTTTCTAGCCAGGGACATCAACGTAGATGATTCGCCTGCGGGGGATCGTGGCGTGAACAAAAACATGTTTCAATGCGAATCATGTAGTCGAAAGGCCCACTGCCAGTGGGGATCTTGTTTCCCCCTCGCAGATATTCCTCGCCGCTCGGCGTTGCGAACTTTGACCGCGCCTTGGCGAAGCTTGCTGAGAGCGAGCTACACCTGTGGCATGTGCAACCAATCTGTGTGCACTCGCGATATTCGAAATTTAGCTGCAAGATTGGTCGCATGGTCTTCTGATGAATACCTTCAGATAACATGCCACCGTTGCGAAGACGCAGAACATCTTTCAAAACGTCTTTCCAGCTGAACGTCCCTGCAGGGTCCGCGATAACTTCGGTGTCAGCTTTAACCTCCTTGTCCTCGCTTTCATGGGCTGGAGAGCACATGACAACAGAGCGTGGGTGATGTGATGCATGAGCAACGCTTCTTGAACTACCAACACGCGTATGTCGTTTCCAGTCCCTACATGCACCCTGTCATCAAAAGTAAACTTCATCCCCAAGAACAGCACATGAAGACAGGCGGGCAGGGCAGGGAGACTACTCGGACACAAGCAAGTTCCTGTAAGGCCACGAGCAGGGCAAGAGGCCTCATCCCCTCAAAAAATACACTACGCGGACAAGAGATGTGAAGAGCAGCAACGGTATGCTCCACAGTCATCAATATTCGATATTTCCGGAACGAAATGATTCCAGACTCTGGGTTCTCGAAGCCACCAGAAAATTCTACTCACAAGGCTTCTTCATTCCCTCCGCCCTCCGAAGCGCTTGCGAAATATACACGGAGGACAAAAAATAGCCAACCGACCCGCCATCGATAAACGTACAATGCAAACCTACACGAATGGCCGCACGTATGTAATCATGGCCGATACCCATTGTCCGTTCTATAGAACATGAGGATGAAATAGGAGAAACCACACGGAACAGCCTGGATTGCTCGGGTAAGGGGGAGTGGAGGGGTGCGGCGTGGTTGCGAAACGTTCCCGAGCCGGAGTTGCCATCATCCGAAGTATGTTGTTTATGTCAGCACTGCTGTCATGGCGACGGAGGTGCAGCTTTAGCGGCCGATTAATTCGATACCGTGCACGATTTGGCGACAATGGGAGCAAATTTATTTCGACCAGGTAGGAAGGTATAGTTGCTGCATGCTCAACAGATCTGGACTGGTAGGCAATGAACGAGTAGCACCTTGCGCTTGTTGGTAGAGAGCGATCTCCTCCTCAGAGTGTACGATGGTGCCAATGTCTGTCCCTACAGGAACGCCCTCGGTGCCGGCCTCGACCACTGCAAACAAGGACAACGGAAAACACTTCTCAGATAAACGAGTCTCGAACTACTGTAGAACGCACATACAAGGGGGCAGCGATATGTACGAAGCTAGCCCAAAACAAAAACGTGATGCACGCAGCACAGCTGCGCAGAAAAGCGAAGACTACGGAAAGCCACGATGTGTGCAGAAATCAACGAGTGAGAGAACCGGTCATGCTGGAACCTGGGGCTAAGAAGGTGCTTCGGTTGACTGGGGCAATCGAAGTGTTTGACATCAAAACGACATATCGTAAAAAAACGCAACAGCGCCAGCTGCGCACAACCACTCACATATCTCAGCGAGGAAGCCCGGGGTCTCGACTTTCACCCCCACGGAGAATTGCTCCAGCTCGATTTCGCAGACCACGTCACCAACCTGTGCACACGGGTGTACACGGAGGGCCAACCACCAAGTGCGGCGAAATTAGACTCCTGTTGCGGAAGCTGATTTCGGGGGGAATACTGTACTTGCGAAGTACCAGCACAATCGACTCGATCCCTTCGAGGAAAGACAGAGTATTGTTGATACGGGACAAGATCTTGACCCGCACCCATGCATTCATCTCACAGCTGGAGGGCGCCGCCTGCCGTGGTACGAGCTACTTCACGCACTACCCAACGCGCTTGATTCATACCTACGCATACACACCATACGTAAGCCTGCTGTTAGTGTTCGTGACGCCACATAGACCCGTAAAATATTGAGAAGATTTTTCCAGCAAAATATGTCGACAGAGACTACGTTGTATCGGACGAATTGGGGATTTTTATGGCGCACGACCCAACGGAGGGTTCGCACCGGAATTTTCGTCGTTGACACAACAGCCATGCACCTCTAGGTTCTTGTTCCGGCTCGTGTCCCTGCTTTCTCAGCGTAAGGACTTAACTCAGCCTCACCTATTCAAGCCCAGTATCCGCCAGGATTCCAATCCCCATTGTCAAGACGTCAACACACGAACCCTCAGAACTACGCTCTGTGATATTTTGTGGAAGGTGAAAATACCACGTACGTATACAGGAGTACTGCTGTGCCCGTGCCGTTCGACGATGGAGGCAAGACAGAGAGAGAAGGCTGTTCGGTTACAAACGAAGCGACAATCAAACCTTGCACACAGGTGACAAAAGATAAGTAAACACGGAAAGGCAGGAAAGGAGCGGACAGCACGTAGCAGTAGATAAAGAAAGCACATATCCACGGAGTGCACTTGCCTCGATGACATCGCCCACTTGTACCTTCCAGCTGGTCAACGTGGCAACCCTTTCCGCCTGTGACGGCAGACCGATGCAGCAGTAGGTTGTCGCGTCGTACGTTGGAGAAACAAGGCTTCAGCAGGCGCAATATTCAATAAAATGCACGACAGGCAAAGCTGGCGTGCTGCTGTAGCCGCGGCTACATGATGCGGTGGAACCAGACGAGGCTATTCCTGCACCGATCGAAAAGAGAGCGTTTCGGAAGAGGTCTGGAAACCACCAACTACAGCAGTACATCACAACGTGTCCCGCCTCAGAGGCAGCGGCGTCGCAAACGCACGGGCAGTCAAAAACTATCAACGACGACCTCCTGTACACATCGTGGTGAAGCAATTCGGTTACAATCCTCAGCCACCATCACACCTACCTCCGTTATCGTCGGCATTTCGATGTGGGCATGCCTCGGCTCCTCCTTCGCGGGCATCGCCACCTCTGCGACCTCGGCCTCCGCAACAGGCGCACCGTCAACTCCCTTCTCCACCGTGGTCCCGTTCGAAGACGTGGAGAATTCGCACAAAACACCCCCGTTCAACGTGGCTCCAAGTGCTCTTGTTCGAGGCCCTCCAACAAGGACGGAGGCAGGCGAGGGCCGCAAAGACAGAGCAGACATCGGACCTCCCGATCGCGGCGGTTGAACCTGGGTGCTGCACCCTCTGCGCGCCTCATTTGATAAGCGCCGCACTGTACCCAGCTTGGCAGCACTTATTCTGCCATTGCGTCCGTTAACTCTGAGTGCCAGGTCCGGAATACATGTAGGAGACACTGCTGTAGCGGAAGAAGTCCCGGTTTGCGCTACATGTTGCTCGGGCATGCACCATGGGCGGAAAGTGTGAGCACTTCTGGTCCCGGACACAGCATCCATGATGGGCCTGACGCTGACGACACCAGCTCTAGAACATCGCAGGCCTCTAACACTACTATGCACCCAACGCGCCCTCATCACGCCTACAATTCAGAGTCTGGATTCTGTGCACCACTGTCCAGAGCCTTCCTGGCTCTCTCTTGCCTCCTCCTTGCCTCCTCCTCGGGGAGGTGCTGGGTGTCGTGCTGTGCGCGCTGCAGCTTGGGGGGGGTACGTGGTATCATTGCTGTTTGGATGGTACCGCCAGCGCTTGCATGTTCTCCCAGAGGGTCAGCATGTGACATGATATAGGACTCTCGCCCTCGTCAGCAACGCGCTTGGCCCGACCTACAAATTCGCTCATGGAAAGAGGGTCGAGGGGTGTCAGCGAAGGTCTGATACCTCCTCTCCTTCGAGATTCCAATTCTTGAACAGGCGAGACGAGGCAGTTTGCTGCAAGCTGTAATATCCACACGGGTGGCCAACAGACCGGGTTGTAAGGGCACTTTTGCCAACCTGAATCGAGATTTATTTTGGCACGAGTTGCAACCTCCCCACCTTGGGTAATCCTTGCAATGCAACGATGGCCAGGTTGTGCAAGGTATACATTTCTTGGAGGTTGCGCGTTGTTTGCAAGCCGGATAGGGGGCGGTTGCCGATGGTAGTGCAAGGTGTACCCTTTCTTGGTGGTTGGTGCGCTATTACAAGTCGGATAGGAGGCAGGTTGCCGATGGTAGTACAAGGTGTACCCTTTCTTGGTGGTTGGTGCGCTGCTAACAAGCTGGACTGGGGTCAAGCTGTCGATGGCGGTGCAAGGTGTACCATTTCTTGTGGTTGGTGCACTGCTTACAAGCTGGACAGCGGGCAGGCTGCCGATGGCAGCGCAAGGTGGACCCTTTCTTGGAGGTTGGCGCGCCATGCACAAGTCGGTTAGGGGGGAGGTTGCCTATGGTATGACAAGGTGTACCCTTTTTTGCAGGTTGGCGCGCTTCGCACAAGCCAGTTGGGGGGCAGGTTGCCGGTAATCGTGCAAGGTGTACCCTCTCTTTCAAGTTGGCGCGTTGCGCACAAGCCGGTAGGGGGCAGGTTTGCGTATTGCAATGCGTACCCTCTCATAGAGGTTGCGCAAGATGCGGCCGGTCTACAACAAACAGCAGTGCTCAACACCGTAGTGGCGGGTTCAATTCCCCTGCAATACGTCTTTTTTTTGTTCATGTTTTATTTGTTTTTTCGCCCCCTGTATTCGAATCACTACAATTTTATCGTCGGTACATTCCCGAGCAAACTCCTGAAACAACGACATCCCGTGCCCATGCATCATACGCATGTTGCCAGCTCTAGCATAAACCCATCTCCGCCCGCGGCTTATCATCTCGACCCAGGGTCGTCAACATCCCAAGTTGCACGACATGTAAGCGAGAACTATAAAAGGTGCACTTCAAATTTAAACAATACATACATACCCTTTCGAACGTCGTTCTGTGTATTGGATATCTCCCCACAACAACAGCATGCCCTGGCCCATGACCGTCAGCGACGTCGATCATGGAGACGACCCACAATCCCCGCAACAAACTACATTTGTTTGTTGTGAGGAAGCACAACTCAGCCGGAGGCAACAGCTACACGTAGCGGCAGCAGTGCTGTCCAAACGCACAGGTAGAAACGACCGTCTCTCCCGACACGAAACACAGAACCCCCTCCCACCCTGGCCGTCCCAAATTATACAACCAACTCTAGTCAAGAAAAAACGTCACTGCCTGAGCTGTGACAGCGGTGTCCTCCAAAAACCATGCAGAGACTGCAGAAATAGACCTCTCTACTTTCCCAACACCATCGAAACAACTCCCCTCTCCCCTCCCCCCAAAAAGCTACAATTCGCACAAACAAAACAGGGCGCGGACGAAGCCAAGAGGTTGCAGCGACAGATTCCAAACGCCGTTGCAGACACAGTAAGAAAACACCTGGCTCTCATCCCGCGCCACGCGCCCTCATGCACCAGCGAGAGCAACAAGCGTATCATAGCACCATATGATTAAAAAAAAAAGCTGTGAGACATGGCGAGCGGGATATTTCTCCGCCTCCTCCGTCAAAGCTTCCACCCGTTGTGAACGTCATGAGGACCCGAGGAAACGCTTTGAACGATGTTGCAGCGGAGGCCCCGGCGACTCGACCTGGAGGTTACCGATCAGCAGCGAAATAATATTGAAGTGTGAGAGGAGGGTAAAAGTGGGCTTTCGAGAAATGGAGGGCATGCTCTCCCCCTTTGCTGCAGTATAGTTCTTGGTATAGCTGACAGATGTACGTTGTCAACAATAATATTTGCAAGCAGGCATGGGGGGGGACACACAAACCGACAGCATAACCGCAGGTCGTAGAATACGTCAGAGACGAGGATAAGCTACGCACCCCGGAGAACTACTTTGAAGGGAGGCGAGTTACATTCAAAGATCAGGGGTCGCCAACGGACACGCTGGGATGAGGAAGGGTGTACATTATAGGAAGCCCCGGGCATAACTGATGCACGACAAGAAACACGCAAGCATCCAACATCATCGCAGGCAGAGCGAAAGAGGGAGCAAAAGTGGCACGATTTTTGGAAAGGACAAGACACGTGACATACCTTGTCAACACGGTTTAGGTGTCCGCCAAGGTTTTGTAGCCAGCGTAGTCATCAAGACCATCGCTTTTCTCGCTCGGAGACGAAGAACATCCCGGTCCCCATCTTTAGTTTACCCTCCACCCCCATCCGCCCCTGGGTCACCTCCTCCACCTCCTGCCCCCTCGTCCGCGAACAAGCACGGCTTGAGGTAGCGCTTAGCATCTTCCTGACGATCAATACTCTCGGTGGAGAGGATCGGCCCAACGTATTCCAAGCCGAACCGCATAAGGACACGAAACAAAGAACAAATAGCGTTCCATGTGAACGTCGGTTTGTTTGACGTCACGGGTTCATACATAAATAGCTTGCGACAAACCACCAGCGCGTCGACTGCCTAGAAGCAACTTCAGGGGACGCTGAAAATGTGGGAAAATGATTTAAAAGACTGGAAATGCGTCGGGAACAAAATAAACGAGAGTGTTGGACGTTCGGCAAAGCTTGCACGTCCAATGAGCGCTTATCGGCCTGACAAATTGCCGACAGTACACCAGGGGAGATAGGGATATAGAAGAAAACGCTAAAGACAACAAATACCCTCAGCCCCATAGAGCTTAGTTCACATATCAACAAAGGCAACGTACATGTCGCTGATGACGTCCAAGTTTTTTCACGGCCGCCGCCCTTCGCAGCAAACGTCTTTTCGAAAAAAGCCTCGCACACCGGGAAGGTACGGCAATACCGTCGTGGTCGGGGTCGCTCTTGTTACCGAAGTGTAGCCTGTAGTGCCCATCCTCGTCTTGATATCCGTGAGGACGTACTGCTCGAGCACCTTCGAACGATGCCAATCCATACCGTGAGGGGGGGGGGAGTGGTGCTGAGCGGGCAAGGGGCTGGATGGATGGATGCACCAGAGCAAGGGTGACAGTAGATGGCCTGGAATTTTCGCCGGAAACAGCAAGCAGGAGCGCGAACAGGACATCAGCTATCCTCGCTGTAAAAACGTGCATGGGGATTAATAAGTTCAAGCGTCATAACCACAGGGAAGCGGCGTTAACATTTCAAGGACAATAACTCTTCGTCCCCGGCGCTGTCGCTTGGCATCATGAGATGTTCGCTCATTGCACACTATCGGTTCACCTTGCGACGTCCCTCTGTCTTGCACTATAGGCTAACGCTACAACATGTGAGACCCTCAAACCAACAGCAGTACCGGTGCGCGTGCGTCAAAATTCTCTACTCCTTCCACAAGCAATGCATCGCGAGGAATAGTTGCCTGCAGGTCCCCCCGTTCCTTGCTTCTATTGTATGCATACGCTTTGGTTGAGTCTCATCAATGAACGAATGAACAGCTCTCGAAAGAAGGTATTCCATCGTTCCCTCCGTTCAAATTCAAATAGGAGCGATTTACTCAAAACTTGCGTGGAGCTATGCCTGAGTGATCGACGATGTTATGCACGACTCTGACAGCAGGTGCCGTAGCAGACCTTCATCGGTTCTCGGTGGACAGAGGTGTCGCGGGTCGGACATGAACTTTCTATCATACTCTGTTTTTCAAATCGCTGGGCACCATTTCTGAACAAAATCTCGCATTTACTCCGGAGAGTTCACTTAACCCGACCGTACCTGAGCTATGGGGTGGTGCGCTTGCATCGGTGGACCTGATTGAAGGTCACGCTCTGCATGGCCTCGTCCTTCTGACACGGGAATGCCGTGGTTGGCTGTCCCTAGAACGTTCGAGAACATGACGGTACCAAGCCCACTCATGGCGGTATCCGCCTACATAGTTCGATAGAAATTGGGGGGGGGGGGGAAGAGTGGGTGAGACGCAATATATGAAGGCGCACATGCATATCCCTTCGCTTTGCTATGCATACTACTGTTGACCTCTTCGTTTCGCATCAGTGGCGCGGCATGGGGGGACCCGCTGCGACCGCCTTTTCTCAGTTGTTGTTGTTGTTGTCTTGACATTGAAAGAAAAAAACTTTCCGATCTCTGACACGCCATATTTCTCAGGAGTTTACTCGATATTCTGTATTTTACGGCCAATAATGTTTTCAAAGGGGTACATCGAAATCCCGGATGAAAAAGAAAGAGAAAAAAAAGGGTGGTGGGAAGAAAAAATATGGCGCAGATGAGAATCGAATCCACTGATCTCACAGCACAGCAGTTGCATAAGATACCACGCCCCCTGGACCAATTTCCAAAGCCTGATTATTCCACACCAGAAGGAGTGGCGAGGCCGGAAATGGCTGCATTGGAACTGTCTCGTGGAGAGTTTTTTCGAAAAAGTATTGTTTGATTTTCGGAATCGTCTTCGTCGTGGAACATGATAGGTTGAAACTTGGTCAAGGGGGTGTGGTATCTTGTGCAACCTACGGTTACCGTTAATTCTTGCTTTGAACACGATATATTTGCATGCGTGTTAACGACCTGTGTCAATCGAGCAACCCATGTAAAACAATTCGGTGTTATTAGCGCTGGGCGTTGGTTCAAGCATGTGGACGGTCGAGACGGTCGATGCTATGCATGTGTGTGGACAGGTCAGATACAGCAGACATGCGGTGTTGTTACTGTTTCGTACGTCTGTTGAAGA